AAAAAAAAACGAAAATGGCACAGGTTCATTGACTAAAGAGATCGAAGACGTGTCAAAGCTACAGGTGGTCAGTTTCAAATATGTCTAGACTCACGACAGAAATACATCACTCAGTACGTCAAGTCGGAGCTTGTTGAAAATAGAGGAATTTTTCTTAAATCATATTTTTCAACAGGTACAAAAACAACACGCACGAGTTGCCATAACAACGAGTTAACCTACTAAGCTAGGAAGACACTATTTATTCAATCAAACCCTGGCCTCCGAAAAGCGATTGGTGTTACTTATTTAACTTTGCGAAAAAAAGTACAGTGGACATCGTAATTTACAGACTCAACGCCATACAATAAAACATTTAGTTTTCTTGTAACGCTGTGTCATGGGAGACAAACGTGACCAGTTTCTTTTATGAAGTTTCATTGCATTTAAGCACCGATTCTTTCTGCTAACAATTTTTTTTCTGATTTACTCGTCCTAACGCGTGTAATTATGGCTACCATTATCAATGGTTGAAAATTTCCATTCTAAACCATGACGAGCACATATTTGAACATGTACGAGCAATAAGAATGTTCTCTATACTCATTGAACAACTTTTGGGGTCAGCATGACCTTTCATTTTTAAATAACACTTACCCTTCTAATGTCTGAGTCGTTTGGTGCACAGATCTTCTTTTCGTTGTCTCGAGAGTACAAAGCCAAGGCAGTCAGTGGCAGTAGGTACATGAGATAGAGACACAGGCTGAAAATGAGGGATGTGAATCCGAACTTCTTCCTAAAATAATAATAATAATAATAATAATAATAATAATAATAATAATAAGTATAGGTAATCACATGATTTCGAGTGCAATTTGGAATAAATATGCACAAGTAAATTTTTTCAAAGACCAACAAAATTGCATGAGCCTGTAGGGCGAGTGCAATTTGTGGTCTTTGAAAAAATTTTCAAGTGCTTATTTATTCCAAATTGCATGAGAAAATGATGTGATTATCTATTAATAATATACATGAAAAAATATGAGGTAGCTTCTTATAACTATGCAGAAGAAAAGTGCGCACATCAGGTGCAAAAATAATTTATTCAAACCCTGCAAGTGACATTGACCTTGACTTTGACCTTGACATTGACCTTGACATTGACATTGACCAATCATTCTGACCAATCAGAATGTCTGGTTTGTTTCTTTCTCTGCACTGAATTAACCCTCTTCTGCACTGAATTAACTCTCTTCTGCACTGAATTAACTGAAGACTGCATTCATCTTAACCAACCAGAACTGAGAAATTTTTTCATGTATATTGTTAGGGCTAAAATACGCGAACGAGCGCGCAGCGCGAGTTCGATTGGAAATCGCAAGTATGATTTCAGACCAAAATTGCGCGACACGAGGTTCAATTACCACTTTATTACATCCATTATGAAATCGTCCAAATACAGGACTTGGTCAATTCAAATATTTTATTGATGCAGTACTGAGCCAGTTTTTAAATAAAAAGAGGAACCGGAAACGCTTTTACATCTTATTTTGTATGCAAAACAGAAAGACTTTGACGTCATGTGTCAAAAACACAGTCAAGCGTAAAAGGATGCGATTTTGAGCAAAAAATGGTGCGATTCGTGAATAAATCGCACCAATTAGAGCCAATCAGATTACGGGGACCACCAGTGATTTCAAAATGGATGTAATAAAATGCGGAATTTTCTCGTCAAGTAATGAATTTTCCTATAAAAATGACCCGCGTTGTGTGACTTTGTTGGCTGCTTCTCAGGTGTGGAATCCAACTGTCGTAGTGTGTTAAAAGAAGATGGACAAGAAATTTTGATGTTAGCTATCTCATCCTTTGAAGCTGCAGTGAATACCCTGAAAGATGGATCTGTAGAATTTCAGATGTTGCTGGTAATTCGGGACAATTCAGATCAATTTGTGGAGCTTTATAAGCTGATTAACAAGGAGGAAAGCAAGATATTTCTTTTTAGGCAAATTTTGCGTCAGCGTTGTGAGGAATTGAAAGCTTTTCAGGATGAGCGAGACAAGGTTACTTCCTTCATTAGGATGTGCGCCCTTATTAAACAAGGTAACGAAAGAGGCTCATTTTACTCATTTAAGGAGTCACTCCTATTGATAAGGAAAAATAAGTTATTGTTATATTTTGGACTTTGTAGTTGATGTTCATAAGTTGTCACGGAAGGCAGTGGAGGATGTGTCTCGTCGACCCATCAAAGATCTTGTAGAATCAGTGACTGTTGGCGACAAGAGGTCATCCTTTGTCAAGTTCTTTGGTCTTTCTTCAAAAGCGAAGTCGATGATCAGTTCCTTTACTCAGCTAGCAGACAGTGTTCTTCTAAGACAATTTTGGGTCGAAAACGGGCGCAAAGCCCTCACAAAGATTGGGCAGAGAGAAGAACCAAAGAATTTACTTAGCATTGAAGAAATTGTGGAGTTTGTTTGGACACCATCAAAAGAGGAGCTGCTAAGTTTGAAGCAAAGGTTCCTTAGTGGTGACATTTCATTTAAGGAGGTAGACAAGTTGCTTAAGGTATTCAGTCAGAGGTACGGAGATCTTAACAAAGAAATGAGACTCATTACCTCAAGTCAGAGTGGGGCCCAAGTTCATGCTCTAGGTGAAGTAATCAACCAGCACATTGAGAAGATACAGAAGTACAGCGAGTTGCATAATTGCATCAAGGCTGCTGAGATTATCCTAAAATTCAAGGTCGCTCATGGCCTTGAAGGTGATTTTCAAGACGTGGAAGTTCTGTACAACCAGGTATGCTCAAAGAAGAAAAATCTAGAAATAATGCTTAATGCAGTTTGAGTGTCTAGGTGCTTACCTTGACTTAGACAGCAGCGAACCGCGATACTGGAGGTACACCATTAGCTTAACGACAGTTTAATTTAAACATTTTAAAAAGAGAGAGGCGACTATTGATCAACAACTTATGAAGGTAGACGTTGTTCCATCTCACCAAATAATCATTTTACCACCTCTTTATCTTTTATCTCTCCTTTGCATGCTAAGTTGAAACCCCATAAGTGAGTTGGTCCGACCCTTCAAGATCCTAGCGAGTTACCAGTGATGTAACAAATTAAGCCTTTTTCCTTTTTTTTCGTCATTGAACTTCTCCTTGAAACCACTTATGATTTGGTATGGGTTGTGAAATTTCTAAACCCCATTTCACTATTCTCGGTCACTGACGTGGGAAATAATGAAGTAGCACTAGCTGCAAACTGTCTCAAGCTAGAGATATTTGCAAAGGAGACGTTGTGTGTTTCCGCAAGGGCTTAGAAGAATTGGTTGGGATTTTTCTTCACATTGTCTTCTCGGAAACATTTCTCTCCTCAGGTGAACGATGAATTCAAACAGCGCCCTTTGAAAAGTATGAACAAAGACTTAGAGAGGACTGGCAAGCTATTGTCTGGAATAACCAGTGACCGTGCACGTTGTCTCGATGTTGTGTCCAAATGTCAACCCTTCATTTCATGGCTGAAGGATACTATCAACGGTGAGATATAACATTTACTCCTTCTTTATTACAACTACATTTTAAAGTGTGAATACCGTTCAGATGAAGCAAACTCATGTAAACTACGATCAAATTCTTAAATCTCCCACATCATCTATACACTGGTAAGGTCAGTAATTTCTGTCTTTCAAAAAAACTTGCCTTGGTGTAACGTCGATAAAAAGAAATAATATGTGAGTTATTATGAAAATGAGAGTTATCTTCATGGAAAGTAGAAGAAATGAAATCGAAAAGTGAAGTATATCCATTTATATCTCTCAAAAAGTTGACATCTTTATTTTCTTTTTGAAGGCCCTCAAGAGCTTAAGGTGCTCGTGGATTTGGCAATTATTTCAGCTGGAGAGACAGACATGGAAACTGCTCGAATAACCTGTTTACACGCCAGTTGCCTTGGATTTGCTCCCCTCATATTTGACTTGAAAACCTCGTGTAACTTTAGACGCTTGATGAAGATTTGTGAGCCAGTGTGGAATGCAGTGGATGCTGACCCTAAGCTCCCTGAAAAACTGGTAATAATGGGTACCGCAAAAATCGGAGAGCTTATCTCTGAAGTGAAAGCCTATACCAATCCTTGCCTTGCCTAAACTCGTTGCTAAGTTTCATTATCGGCGCGGCATGTAATAAACATTTCCTGTTAACTACGCAAAAAAGGGCGAGAGAAGGATGTGAATCGGGGTATGCAAACCCGTCGATCCACCGATCCAAAACCGTCAATCCGTCGTTGTTATTTTTCAAACCTGAATCCGCTTTACTAACCAACTACATGAGTTGCGAGTGTACTGAGATTAGGCGCATATTTGTTTTGTTGCCTTTTGATGTTCTTGTAGAAATAATAACTCAAGTCCGAAGTGGTGAATGGTGATGACTATATTTTTGAGTACTGTTTTATAACTGAGCATTTTATCCAATTTTCATAGATTAATCTCTCTGTTGATAGGATTTTATCTCTAACTAGATGACCTAGCTCATCGATGATACAGAAAGTGTCTATCTTTACCATTCGATTTTACTTTGTACCCTTTATAGCTAGAAAGCAGCCGTCAGATTGAGTGGATTAAAAGTGTCAAAAAATCTCATGGTTCTGTGGCCATGTCATCCCTAATGGAAGCTGAGAAGATAAATGCACAGGGTGTATACTGTATAGGATGTCAAGATAGAGATACCTCAGCATTACCAGCAATGGAACAACTGACACCTGACAAAGTAATTAAACTTCAGTTGCCTGCTGAAGACAACGTTGACCGCAAGATTTACAGTCTGAACGATCTAAAGGATTTACAGAGCAAATTGATGCTTATTGCAGCCAAGGCGTCACAAGGGAAAGAAGAAGTAGACCGATTTTTGGATGTAAGTTTTCACTGAACATTTTTGAAACCTAGAATACATTTTAGAAAAAACACAAGGGCGATTTCCTTTTTTTTCGCACATCTCTTCGAGAGCTTACTTCGGTTAATAATCTTCAGGCGGGTTTTCTAAAAACTTCTCAGGAGGCCGCGTTGAGGTTTGTGAAGCTTGAATTTTATATCATCATCTTTCATCCGAGTTATTTTTGTTCACCCATATCCATTTTTTTCCTGTTTGGTTTATTCTGACGTGTCTTATGTCTTTTTTTTATCTTGAATATTTTTTCTGTTTTAGATAATGAAGTACTATTTGAAAGCAATCTTAGGTTAAAAGGCAATTTTGTACTTTGCCAATATCGTGTGGACAATCTATTTGGTTCTAAAGAAAAAGTACCTAAGGATAACATTTATTAAAATTGAACTTGAATTGTGATTTCTAATTTTATTTTTGCACCAACACTTGACAGATTCTACAATGTGTCCATCGTCTCGCCTCGGTATACATTTCTCTTTGCAAAGCTGGAGAAGTAAGTCATCTCAAGTGGCAGCATAAATTTAATTGCTCGCCAAAGCTTTCTACCAACCGCTCTTTAACAAACGATCTAATGGATGAGAGTGAACGCATGGATCAGTGTCTTCGAGAATGGAAACAAGAATTGCATGCCAAGCGACTGCTCTATGGAGAATTAAATCACTTCACCACTTGCCAGTTGCTCTTCCTTCGAAACAAATTGGCAGAAGTAAAGGGAAGAGGTCCCAAAGCAGTGGATGGAATTCCTCTTGAGGTGTATAACCTTTTGGAGAGTGTGTTACCTGGTATCGACCCAGCCACTTTGAAGTCTGCCCTTGTATTTTGTGGCATTTGTGCTCAAGAAAGTGGACAGCATTTGCTCAGATCGTATGGTGCAAGCAGAATAAGTCGTAATCGTGATGAAGAAATGGACAGACCTCCCATAGTAAAGACAGTCCCTTCTTCAAACCAAGAAATGTTCCAGTCACTTGTGGTTAAGCTAGAGTCGCTTGGTTATTCCGAAGAAGTTGCCTTGGCTGCGATGGTTTCGTGCAAAGATGCCAGTGAGGCAGATCTCATCGTTTGGTGCGTGAAAAACGGTGCAAAAAAAGATCTCATCGCGGCTAAGTACACTGAGGCCTTGAGTGATCCAAGTTATTTGCGACTCATAGAAAGAGAAAGCACCACATTCTCTGAGCACGAGAGGTGAGCCTTCGGAGTTTAGCGCTGTACGTAATATAGCCACTCGAATTAAGTTGATTGAAGCTGGAAGCAAACGAAAGATTCATCTGAGAAATCATTGAATAATCAGGATTAGACTTAGCAAAAAGCTTTAAATATGTTTCTGTAATATAATTTTGGAAAAAGTTTAACTAGAGAATGATATCTGCTCCTTTGTAAGAAGAACTGAGTAAGTATTATTTCTTAGTCTCATTCATCATTTTTTGTGACTGATGATCCTGAGCCATTTCATTATACTTGGTATTGTACACTTGAATATGCAGCTAATATTATTTTCTTTTCCATGTAGCCAACAAGAAAAGGAACTGACATCGGAGGAAGAAGATTTTTCAGAACCCATGGAAGCTAGTTACACTATCGATCAGACAGCAGGAGGAACGTTTTTGAGTCTTCATGAATTGGGGAAGCTTTTGCTTCACCTAGCATCCCAAGGTCATTTCTTTTTTTAGTTTTCAAAGTGCATAATGAAGTCTTACTCCATTGTGCTTTTTACTAATAATTGTGCACCAAAATAGGAAATTGCTATTGGTACAAACCAGGTAAAGCGTCACGAAATTAACTTTCGGCCGGAAGTGATCCGATTTTGTGCAACGTTTTTCCTTTAATGAAAAGTTTTAGCCACGGCCGTTCTGGTAGAGTACCTGAGCGCTTATGAAAATAATTAAAAATTATTATTCTACCTTTTTTTTTCATATTTTTTAAAAATATTATGAAATACGCATTTGATCATATTCACTTATTAAGTTGCGCAAATCAATATCCTTATTATTATCATTATTTTTATCATTAAATAATCTAATGTTCATCGTCAATTGCAGGATCAAAAAGGGGAAGGAGGCTCATCCCAAGATACCTGAAACGTGGAAAGCCAAATTTTTTTGTTGTTCCAAAAGGTAGGAGGACAAGTTGGAGTGTGTGCGTGAGTGAGGGTAACAATACACTTGCGATCTTGACCCAATTTTGACCCGATATCCCGGTGCTACTTATTCTTTGTTTCAGAGTACTACACAAAACAATAAACGTCTCAAAATAATTCCAGGATGGCGCATGAAAAAAAAAAGCTTTTTCCTTGCAGGAATATCTTGAAAGGTGTGACCAGCGCATCATGAAAACTTTTCTTCGAAGAGGGAGCATTTTTCTGTTTGTTTGCATTTGAAAAATCTTCTGTAAAACTATCTCCTTGCATCATTATACAACCTCGAGCTCTTTATAATTCTATTAAAATTGTGCTACATCAGTTGCCACATGCAGTCTTATACTGCCTATTTTTTATTTGTAAGTCAGCTATTCCTTTATTATTTCTTTGGTAATGTGTCGTCGCTTCATGCTATTTTGCGGTATGTTAATTAAAGTTGTGATCATTTTGTCATTTCTCTATGCTGAAATTTTTCCTGTTTTCCAGCTCTGTTATTGACCTCAAAGTCATGCATTTCTTTTTCCTCATCCTTCCATAGATGATGTTTTAGGAACTTTACTGTCTTTATACATGCATGACAGTTCGCAGTCTCTACCTACAACGGAGGAAGTTTTGATTTGCACTTCCGATACAACTGCAGAGGAGGTAGGTTGTCGGCCGGAAGTTTTTCAGAAATTTCACAATGTTGCAGTGCAGTCTGAACCAATGTTGGCGATAAAACACGGTTGAGCATATTATCACGCAAGGCGAAGTGGTGATTGATGGAAACTGTAACTCATAATGAAATATTGCTGATTACAAGTCAGCCAATTACAGGTCAAGTTTGATTGAGTTCTTTTCTGAAGCACCTTGTACCTTTCAGCGATTTCCCTTTGCTTTCAGATTGAGCTGCTGTGGCGAAGATCCCTTGCAGACCACGATGGCAGGTTGTTTTGTTTAGTAAATGTTGACCGTCTTGACTACGGTGTTTCTCAAAAAGCTTCTGACGTCCTAGAAGTTCTTTTGCATGAACCTCAATACAGTCAAAATGAAGGTAATAAGAAAAGTTTGCTGTCTAGTTGTGGTTCTTTCACCACCAAATCGCTACCGAAATGCACTGCATTGTGCACACATATCCTAAGTACAATTTGACGCCTCATAGGTGGCTTCGTCGTAAGGTGAGAACTTTTCTTTAGGATCTCGCCAGATAAAAGCGTCATTTGTTTTTGCAAGCGAATTGGCAACCCATGATTCTGTCACTTATTTTAAATTGAGCCGCAAATTTGTTTTTACAAAATGAGATATATCAGTTCCCAGCAAAGAATGACAAACCATCGTCAACAACGTGAATAAGGTAAGTACTTATATTAACCATGTTGTTCAAGGTGCTGCCCTTTCTAATCGTGTATGGAAGTCCTTCGTTTTTCTTTTAAACTTCAAATTTTTAAAGTGAAGATTGATGAAAATCCCCACGTAGATTGTATCACGGAGTAAAAACTTAGATTGTCGAGGTGGTCCTTTTTTTTCCTATTTTAATCATCTACTTCTCTATCTTGTTGTATTCCTTTACATTTTTCTTACTGTAACCACTTATCTGTATTACTGGTTATCAATTCTATTTCAGGCCTGTCCCTTGTGGTAATCTGTAGCTCCGAAAATGAAAACAGAGCTCACATGGCTGCAGCTCTAGATCAGTATAGGCTAAGAACTATTCCACACTGTTGTTCATCAAGAGAAATCAGGCAGTACCTGAAACTACAGCTTAAGCCACGCTCTCAACAACGAGGGACTTTCAGAGATCAAGTCTTGCCTTGGATTCCTGCAGCTGCATTGGACAGAGAAGGGTATTTCTAAGAGCCTTTTTTATGCATCACGTTGATAGTAACAGAAAGTTCTTATTAGTTTTATAATATGATGAACACAGTTTGCATCGTCTAATTGCTCAATTCAGTTTCCAAGAGCCAGCATGTAACTAGTTATGTCATAAAAGCAATAGAGCGCATTTTTTCTGGGCCATATAACGTGAAGCCGATGGCTCGTGATCTTTAAGCTTTTGTCTTGTTCTCCCAACATCCCAAGTGGCTTTATCACGTTATAGGGCGCGGAAAAAATGTGTTCTCTTTATAGTGGTTCGTGAACATGGAGCTGAAGTATACAAATCAGATTGACTTCTGGGCCAGGACATAGTTATTACCACCATTTTATGGTTTCGATAATGGCTAAGACGACGTATCCATTGCACTTAGATGACTCGACAATTTAACAAATGGTAAACACCACAGCGTACACTATTGAGTTATGGATGCACGCGGGAGGTTGCTAAGCACGAAAGAAGCGTAAGAGTCGCTCGAGGCGATAGCCGAGAGCGACTCTAGCTTCTTGAGTGCTTAGCAACCTCCCGCGTGCATCCATAACTCAATAGTGTACGCTGTGGTGTTTACCATTTGTTTTATAACATAACATTGATACATTGTTGCTAAAGAGTTCCCTTTTATCTAACAAATCTTGCGCGACCAGAAAAAAACAAGCGCGCGCGGAAAAATAGTCTTTGCATTTGCTCACGTCAGCAGCGTACACCCATGGGCAAATGGGGGACGCTAAATTGACCAATCAGAGCGCGCGCTTTACTTAGGTTATGTTATAATACGTCTTGGTCGGGTAGAGTAGTAATGCTACAGGTTGATGAAGGTGATTTGAACTTAATACTCTCTACTGCCTCTTAACCTGACAAAAATATGTCTTCTCTGCACAGACTTGCTGTAAGAGTTATTTCATCTGAAAGAGCTGGATCCGGGAAAAGTTTAGCAGTCTATCGACTCAGTCAGCGTCTTGGTGAACTTCGAAATAATGATGCAGTAATGGATTATCTAAGGGACATGAGTACAGATGTGCCACTTTGCATCAGTGTACCGATCTATGGACCAATCGTTCACCAACGTGTTGTGGTCGAGTCTTTATTGCCTCACACTATTGTTCCAGATTTGCCCCTTTCCCGGATTTTCCATTTTGATGTACATCCTTCGGTAATCTATTTTGGTTCCCTACAGTCGAAAGATTTTGGATGATTCATCATTGTTACTCTTAGCTTGATTAATGATAGACGATTTTTCCACAGATAAGAGGTGGTCTGGACACGCTTCTCTTCAACCTCCTAATCCTTGGTGCCTTGAAGAGTAGTAGTGGTCAGATCTGGAGGCGGCGTTCCTCAGATCTCTACGTCATTGAAATTACTTCCGGCGTATCTCCGACTGTACGCGAAACTGCGAAGAGACCACGAATGTCTACTAAGGTCAGTGGCATAGCGAGAAAAAAGACATGATGCAATACTTCAAATACAGTATCTAGGATTAGTTTGAATGCTGTTCTTTTTCTTAACAGCTCTCCAAGAAAGACACGGCAGAGCCCTTTTACAGGCTTCTTCCCACTATTCAGTGTGGAACACCGATGCAAACATTACATCAGTTGCAAACTAATCTAGCAGGTTGGAAAACGGTATTTGTATTGTGTCAAGAGTCGGGCGTAATTGATTTTATATGTTGTAGGCCTGAAATCCCTAACGGTTGTGTTGTAATATAGTTCAAGGGTTTTAAAACTGACATTGACCCATGTTTGCCGGATCTACCGGAGTGAAACAGAAGGAAGCATACTATTTTTTCTTCTTCAGAAGAGAGCAGTTTGAACCCCTTGTTTGACAATGCTGAATTCAAAAGTTCTAATGTTCAGCGAGCCTTTCAGTACCTTAAGTTGTATGAAGCGGGCGGTCAGACTCTGGATCATTTTTGGTTTGTATCCAGCCAAGTGATGGGCGACCATACAGAGTGTATAGAGATACTCATCAGGTGAAGAATCGTTCTGATAACGATATAAAGGTTCCTTGGATGTTGTGCCTTCTTTCAATCAGACTCTTTGTGTTTGTTCTATTTGAGTGTTGATGTACGTGCATGTAAATGGAGGTAAAAAAAATTACAACGACAGTATGTAAATGAACGCTTGTATTAAACCAATACTTTTCATATGATTGGTGCAATTTTGAATTTCTACTGGAATTTGCCCTATTTTCTCGATTAAATGAATCGAATTAAAGTTTTGAACCATAGAAAATTAACTTTTGGTTACTTACATGAAACCATTGAGAGGGAATAGATAACCTTGCTACTTCCTTTCTAATTATATATTTTGACGTTTACGACGAAGCTTTTTTCTGTATGACTTTATTACTGCCTTTCATGTACAGAGCGAACGTATTACGTTTACAAAACCTTTAAAACCCTACTGACATATTCGTAAGACTTTGTATCGACAAGTTTTCGATCCATATCTAACATTAGTGTATAACTTTCAAGTTTCTTTTGAGGAACATTCCAGGTTTGAGCTTCTGGTTTGCCTGTTTATCTGTGGTTAAGAACTCAAATAATCCTATGTTTTTTCCAAACAAATCCACTTACAGACATTGTGGTATCGAGAACCCTTCATGGGCCGAGATACGGCACTTCGTGAATTTTCTCAACTCCCAGCTTCAATCCTGCGAAGAAAGTTCGTTCTGCAACATGGAATTGGTGGGGGACACTCTTGAGGGTTTTAGAAGTTTTGTGGTTCGTTTTATGATCTTAATGTCACGGGTAAGACATTTATTCATTACACGAGTTACATCAGACGATTGCTAAAATAAAGCCAGCAAAGGGTCATAAAATAGTTCTCACACAATTTTTTGGTCCATTTATCTTTGTATCATGCTCTTCTCTCTCGCTGTTTCGTCCTCCTTCTGTCGAGATGGCTGTTTAATCACGTACAAACAACTTTCCTTATTTTCTACTTTTTTTCTTTCTTGTGTGTTTCTTCATTTATCGATATATCATTCATCCATTCTTCAAGGCATCCGCTTGCCCGCTAGTCATTCACAAAGACAGAGGAGAAGACAAAAATGTCATCCTTTTCCCTAAGAACAAAAAGTACCTACAAGTGATTTCAATGAAGACCAGTTTATTGTAGCAGACAAACTTGCTGAAAATATTTTTCTCTTATTACTTTAAAGGATTTTGCTACACCATCACTGAAAACATGTGAAGAAACCAATCACACTCCACGCTTTGATGACGGTGCTGTCGTTGATGATGTGGAAGCTGAAACAGTTGAAGTCGCACAGTTTAGTCTTAGAAGACACTGGGAGACGAGGTACGTACGAGTGACACTGCATCTGCACAGTGAGAACGTTAATTGACTGCCTTTTTAGGTTTCACATTATTTTTTTTCCTGCCTTAATGATTCCTTTCACCCTTTCATTATGTTGACTTTAATCCAAATCGTCGGAATTCAAAAGTGACACTGTCAGTAGAGTTTTGTCTGGGTGGGTCTGGTGACGTCACTGTAATACTGTTAGAAATTGTTTAGGGAACAGTTTTTGGTCACAAGAGAATGGCTTGCAAATGTGCACTGAAAGCAGCAATCGTAGAATTTAAGTAGTAATACCGCGTTCCTTTTTTCGGCAGTTCGCATCCCTACATTTTCTTCAACCAGGATCGTATTACCATGACGTTTGTTGGCTTTCACATTGACCCAAATGGAAACTTAATCGATCCGGATCGTCAAGTTATCATTCAGCCAAACTTGATGTCGAGGCACTTGCGAACCGGCCTCCATGTTCAAAAAGTTGACATGCAAACTAACTATGAATCTTGGAGCAAGTAAGTGTAAAGCTGATTTAGCGTTTATTTAGTTGATAGTAAAATATCCTAGGCCTTTAATTTTTTAAGGGTTTGTATGAGCTTTGCTGGAGGTTACTGTTGCTCTCCGTTATTTAATAAAGCCAATGGAGAGATAATTAATTATTTTTCTGAGTGTTTTTCCTTGGAGCGAAGGGTTCTTGGGCGCTTTCTTTAAATACTCTTGCTATTTATCTTGTTACAGGGGACAGAAAATCGAAAAACTTTGCGGTGTAATGGGTGTCGAATGGCCTTATGATCCAGATGAGTCGTACGAGCTCACCACAGACAACTTGAAGAAAATCTTAGCTATCCATATGCGTTTTAGGTATGGCAGTGGACGCAATTTTTGGTTAATGTATGTTGGAATATCTTTTCAAAACTTTTAGGAAATCAATGGTGATTGAGCAGACGAAAATTGTGGCATTTTACATCAACCACATTTACTATTAAGACCTATTTTCAGTTTCTAACATGGTTCTTTCATTGTTAAAATTAAATGATAAATCTAAGGTGTGGCATCCCAGTTGTCATCATGGGTGAGACCGGCTGTGGTAAAACATGCCTTATTCGGTACATGTGTGGCTTACAGTCTGGGCCTGGTGGACCTAAAAACATGCTGCTAATGAAGGTAAGAAATAAAAAGGTTCTTGTTCTGTAGCTTTGTATGTCTACTCGTGAATACACTTTTGAAGTCTATTGCATCCAAGCTATTGGTATGATTTTGAAAATTTTTTGTTCGATTACTGCCACGAACAGAGGTACATGCTCATGCACTCAACAATTTATCTCATTTCATCCACAACCATTACTTTGTATGTCATGAGTAACTACTTGTTTTTGTTCTACACAGTTGCAATGAGGATTATCGTTCATTTTTTCCCGCTTTAAACTTTTCTAAAATGGTTAAAAAAAATATGTGAAATGATTGCGGATGTTCTCGTTTGCTGTTTGAATAATTATTTAAGTGATCTTCTTATTTATTAACACCTTCCCAATCTAAACGATAGGTTCATGGAGGTACTACCTACAAAGATATTGAGAAGAAAGTGGAAGAGGCTGAGGCAATGGCTATGGTGAACGAAACGTTAAACATCGACACGGTGTTGTTCTTTGACGAAGCTAATACAACTGATGCTTTGGGAATGATCAAGGAAGTTATGGTTGATCGCCGAGTCAACGGCAGAAAGATAGGAGTTGGGCTTAAAAGATTACAATTTATTGCAGCATGCAATCCTTACAGAAAGTAAGTTGAACACATTTGGCGAATTTTTAGTATTAGGCACTTATGAGGGGATTTTTAGACAATTAAGAACAGCAACTTACCTTTTGTTTTGCAGGCATACAGACGAAATGATTCACAAGTTGGAGTCAGCTGGTCTGGGGTACCATGTCACCACTCAACAGACGCGGGATCGCCTTGGTATGGCGTTATTGTGAATTCAAATCTGATCTGAGTCTTTGTTGATGCGGAGACCGACATGCAACTGAGATAGGGGTAAATTTTTCGGCAGGGATGTTTCTTCAGGACAAGAGGAGCTTAACGCACGGGGGCTTATTGCTGTGAATTTTACCCTTTTTCTACTGTAGGAAATAAACACCAAGGATTTAAAATTGATTTTCCCCTCGTCTTAGGGTCATGTGTCTGTAGCACTTCATTTTTGTAATGCTAATTTTCTGATTTTTCCGAGAAAGACCACGACCCACAAATCTTTCATTTTAACCTTGAAGGTCACATTCCTCTTCGGCATCTGGTGTACAGAGTGCATGCACTGCCAGAAAGCATGTGTCCGTTGGTATGGGACTTTGGTCAGCTTAAGCCTGAAATTGAGGAGCTTTACATACGTCAAATTGTCACCAGATTTGTGAGTTAATTTTTCTTTTTTGCATGAGTACAAGATGGAAGATCAAAGTTTAAGACTTTGATTTCATTTGGAAGAAGATTAAAAATCAGCGACACCAAGAGACCTGTCAATTTAGGAATCAATCTTTACCTTTCTTTTAAAATAAGGTTTTACAAGAAGAGAAAATTCCAGGAGAAGCCTCACTGGTGAAGGCTTTGACAGCCGTACTTACTGCTTCTCAGCGCTACATGAGGGACCAAACGGTAAGTAAAGCTTTCTAAAAAATTTTTTGGTGGAGTGGCTCGTCGACTTATTTTAAATAAATAAGAAGTGTAGGAATTTTACTTTTAAATTAACGCAAATCTTTTCTGACTCTACTCAAACAATTACGCTGAACCGAACCGAACAGGATGAGTGCAGTTTTGTGAGTCTTCGCGATGTTGAACGTGCGATGAATGTGATAGTTTGGTTTTACAATCACCGTGATGCTCTCAATCCCCTAATGGATGATGATACCGATGAAGAAAGGGATGAAGACGACGACAGCGATGACGAGTATGAGCAGGATGAATTGGAACAGGTACTCAGTTCTGATGAAATCTCAATATCGTCTAAGAGCACCACTAGTGTTGTTCTTGCGATTCTTCAGACTGCAGTATTGCATAACCCATCCTCAGTCTGGCTTTTCGCCCAAGAGAAATTTGTGGTTTTTCCTCTTAAACCGAAATGATGGTCTATTTCCTCTGTGGTTTAGTTTAAGCAACCCTAGTCTCTATGTCACGGAATAACACCATTGTCCTGAAAATTGCTTGAAAGGTCATCTTATTGTACTTTTTGTAGATCAGAAAAAACAAATTTTCATAACAAGCACCCATAGACTTGACATTCAGAAATGCTATAATGAATCAATAGCTCAGAAGATGCATCGAATATTACTCTACTTATTTTGTTTTATTTTGATTTAGCCTCTTGATGATGTTACCCGAGCAGTTGTGCTTTCCCTTGGCGTTTGTTACCACGCACGCCTTCAGGACAGAGAGCCATATCGTAGAGCCGTCGCTGAAAGCTTTGCAAACCCCTGTCAACTGCCAGGTGGACATGAACGTATTCTGAAGGAAATCACAAGGTAATGTTGTCAAACATCAAACATTTTCGAGATCGGGTGGGTTTTTTTCCTTTTTTTCTTTGATCGGACTTACTTTGTGGGTTTTTTTTTTTTGTACTTTTCGTTCCCCAGCTGTCAAAAAGCAGTGTTGAATGAACTAGAACTTGGAGATAACATTGCTCGAAATACAGCATTGAGCGAAAATGTGTTCATGATGGTGGTATGTATTGAGCTAAGGATTCCACTGTTTGTCGTCGGTAAACCGGGAAGCTCCAAGTCACTAGCCAAGACTGTCGTAACCGACAACATGCTTGGGGATGCCTCAAGATCCGATCTCTTCAAGACGTTTAAGCAGGTGGGCAGTTGATTATATATATTCAAGCTGTCCTTTTCAAAAATTATGTAATGGCTCGTTCTTGAGGAAAATAAAGCTCATTTTTAAACGACATGATGCATGCTTTGGGTGTATCCATAACTAAAAAAGAGTGTCTTGAAACAATTAACACCGAGGGAAATATTTATGCTAACAAAGCACCTTCGGATGAAACGGCTTAAATGATTCTACTTTCGACTAGGTCCAGATGATTTCTTATCAGTGCAGTCCGCTCTCAACTGCAGAAGGGATCATGGCAACCTTTCGCAATTGTTGCAACCTACAGAAAGCCAATAACCCAGACAAGTATGTGTCAGTTGTGGTCTTAGACGAAGTTGGCCTTGCTGAAGACTCACCTTTGATGCCCCTGAAAACTCTTCATCCGCTTCTTGAAGATGGGGTGAACTCAACTGATGACATCATTGCCACCGAAGAGCAATTTCCAGAAAGAGTGGCCTTCATTGGGATCTCTAACTGGGCTCTAGACCCCGCCAAAATGAATCGTGGAATTATGCTTTCACGTGGTCAGCCAGATTCAGAGGAACTAGTGGAAAGTGCAATGTAAGATTGTCCCTCGGTTAGTTTTTGATAATGATAGCCTCATTAAATTCGTGTAAGCAAAATGAAACTTGTAAACAGGAATTTAAAGTAGGCTTGGAGATGTATTTGATACTGATTTTTAACTTGTTATCGTGCAAAAAAAGTTGTTTACGAGGTATATTTTCTTTCTATTTAGGGGCATTTGTTCCACCAATAAACGCATACAAAGCTTTGTTGCACCACTCATGAATCCTCTGGCACGCGGTTACAAAAAATTGTACGATAATCAAAGAAAGTCTGAGACCCTCCAGGAGTCCAAAAAAGATGAATTTTTTGGTCTTCGGGATTTTTACAGGTAGCATTACGATATAAATGGTAATTCTGATAGTTCTCATATTAGTCTCTCACTCTCATTGTTACTGATTAGTTACTTATGTGTTGTTGCTGAACCCTGGTCATCCTTGGTTGATTATAAGGCATCACTAGCCACACTGACGTTACGCTCGTGTAGAAATGTTGTAGTTTTGTGAATAGTCTAGATGGGGTGCTCCTAAACTGTTGTCTCTTGCATGTTAGCCTATTTTGCCACTTTTTCTTTACAATAGCTGGGGTAGTTCCAATAGGACTAGACTACAAGCAGTCCCTCCTTTTTCGGCGAAGTCCGTTGCGCGAGTAAGTTAAAAGCAGGGGAAAAAAGATTGGTAGTTCGGCTTGGGGTAACGTCGATACGCCGCGGGAGCTTCATGAGTACTCCAAGAGATCCCTGCGGCGCGTTAGCAACGACTTTTTTCTCTCTGATTTTTTTTTTAACTCGCGCGACGGACTTTGCCGAAATTCTGACATCTGTCAAGTTTTGGCAGCTAACGCATTTAAATGTATTTTTCATGTTACCCCAAGCCTTGTGAAGATGGTGTATAAAATTGCTGAGGAGCGAGGTCGTGAGCCACGTTGGCCTGAGGTAGAACATGCCATTAGAAGAAACTTTGGAGGACTGGATGAGATTGAACCGGTGAAAATTTTCAAACAGTTCGCTTTGGGTGGAAGCCACATGGTAAGTATTTTCTCGGTCTTTTTTAAGTTGTAGTTTACCTTTACCGACTGGTTTGTTTTTGTAACATAACAACTGGCAAATTGTATTAAAATGATCCTAGGAATACTGTGAATGGAAAATACATTTTCATGGTTAAGGCAATTTGATTGCAATATTTGTTTGTTGGCTTTAAGTTTCTAAAGAGCTCAAAGATATTAACTCGAATACGTACGTCACACGCGCTTTCAACGAACCAAGGTTTTGGTGTTATCGCTGTTGAAGCAGTGTGCTGTCATTCTCACTATGATCGTTTACCTTAAAACGAAACTATGAAACTTTAAGCATATTTATTTCTCTTTTCTTGAAGATGGCCCAAAATGAAGATCTGTTGTCTGCAGTGAACCTGATCAAGGCCAGCCTTAAAGATCAAAAGAACTCAAAAGGGTGAGAAAGAAGTTAAGAAGTGAAGTGTTGTCTAACTCATCACTGCTTAGGTCTCAGTTACTTGGCCCCGCTATCTATCGTTACATAAATCGTCAAGGTTTAATGGGCTGTTCATATAGAATAAAACGATAACACTTGAAAATAAAAAAAACGACTAAAGTTTAAATAAGGCCGTGAACTACTGTAAAAATTGATGGTAGAATCTTAAAAAAAAGACTAAGTTTTCACCGATCCACGGCTTCATCAGGGATAAAGCCGGAAAATCTTAAACGCAAAATCAGATCCATGCATAAAGAATTCCAAAACTAAGAAGTAGAGCACTCCTTGTTCAAAGTGTTTTTCTTTTGGTTTAAACAGAGAGAGTCGATACCTACTGGTGCTGACAGAGAATTATGCCGCTCTGCCGATTGTTTTGAAGGAGTTACGTCGAACTGGCGAAGAACCTGTCGTAATTTTTGGGAGCAGCTTTCCCAAGGATCAGGAGTACACTCAGGTACTTACAGTTTGTAACCCTCTGTAGCAGTCAGTACAGGTTATAGACAGTAAATAGACTTATTTCGTATTACATACAATAAGTCACGTTCAATGTGACTTCTATATAAGGTGCATAACTAAATACAGTTACTCCACATCAGTTCGGCGAGTTTACCTCGATGATTGATTTCACCTTGTCAAAAGGATTCTCCCTTGAAACGTACATGTTGGGGATAAAGTTGTGGATTGTAAATTAGGTAGCGGCTTTGGATTTACGACCCTTTACTATTACCTTTATTTACAGGTTTGCCGAGACATAAATCGAATCAAGGTATGCATGGAGACAGGACGGACAGTAATCCTTCTGAATTTAGAAAGCCTCTACGAGAGTCTTTATGATGCATTGAATCAGGTATGGATGGAGGGGAAAGTCTCCTTTCACTTGATTCCCTCTTCAAATATAAAGCACATTCCTGTGAGAGAAAGCTTGGTAGTGAATTGTACATTTTATGTCGCAACCGGCTCTAAGAAATCCTGTCAGCTTTATTTTATTTCGTAATTCCGTAAATCCGTAATTCCTTATTTGCACGTTCGTACGAATGGTTTCCCCAGAAAACGGCTCAATTATGTTTCTTTTTGTCTTTTTTTTTTGGTTTTTTGAGCGTTAATGTAGTTATATTTCTCAGATTCTCACTGTCATGTTTCTCTCACTTATCTCATCACTCAGTACTACGTTTATTGTGGAGATCAGAAATTCGTTGACCTTGGACTAGGAAGTCACCGCGTCAAGTGCCGTGTTCATAATGATTTCAGGTAAGTAAAGTAGCGGTTTTTACGAGACATCTTGACAGAATTTCTTTGTATAGTAAACTACAAGACCTGCTTCGAAACGCATTTAAATCTTACTCACTTTTGTAGCATTCGTTTGTGAGCGCATTCTTCTGTCCCTTTTACTGTCCTTTCTCTCATAAGAAGTCTTACAATTAAAACCAGCTTGTTCCCTCGACTTAGCTGTATCTTGGAGTGTATTTATAATACCTTTTTTCCACAATGAAACACGACGGATAGGCTGGTTGTCATTGCTGAAAAAGATGTTGTCTACAGTAAGTTTCCAATACCCCTCATCAATCGCCTGGAGAAACATTACCTTGTGACGTCAGCAAGTCTCAGTCCTGCGCAAAAGGCTGTTGTAGATCGACTCGATGAGTGGGTATACATATTTTCTCACGTCGACATCCCACCACATCAACAGATGAGGTATGAAGTAAAACTGGCCACAGCTAACATTTCTTCTCTTTAATTACTAAACATTTGTGGGTTTTTCTAAATTGCAGTATCAATCCCAGTAACCTTAACCAGTGTTATAGCTAAGAAAATGGCCTGCCGGTTGAGGAAGCCATTCAGCCGGCTGTGTCCAGTCGTTTGCAACATCTTGTCTGCGGGGCTACCAAGCTTTGAGTTTGCAAAGTGGCAATCCGAAACAAAGAGAGACACTATAGACCAGTTAAGACCAGTGAATTCAAAGCAACACTTCATTTCACCCTAATAATTCTGCAGCTAAGATGTAGTTCGGTATTTATTTTCACCTTTTTGTTTTCAAACGGCAAGGTATTTTTTTTTCCACTTAAACTGTAAAAAATTCAAGACCCGTCTGTCGAGCGATTATCAGCCAAAATTCATCCGCCGACTGCCTCTTTCTCAGCCGGCGAATTTCGTCGGCTGCCGGCGCTCAACAACAACCCTGCCTGATCCCATTTCTTATGGGATTAGGGTTATTTCATAGCAGATTTTAGCTGTGAGTGTTGTTTTTGAAATCCTGGCTGCACAAATTTCATTCATGATAAGACCGAAAAAATAGCGCACTGTCTTCATATCGGTCTGTCAGACATGTAATTCATTATTGTGACCAATTATTCCTCTTGATTTGAATTAGGTAACAATTCTTTACTGTAGACTCCCCTTAAGAAAAGCCCAATATTTGATACTTTTTTTAGTTTACCTTGAGCACTGAAAATTGAAATTTTACTTTTTACCATAAAGGAAATATTTGCCTGGCGATGCATTTGTTGGTTACCACGACGATACTGCAGCATCAGTGGTGCTACAAGTATGCTGTGACTTAGACCAGGAAGAACTGCAAAATTGTTTCGAGGACAAGCGTTTTTCTGATAAGGTGCTTTATTAAGAATTTGCTAATCTTATTGCTATTTATGCCTTGATTTAATCCTGAGTTTGTTTTCATCGATTCGTCTGGTCTTAGTACCTGTAAGAGTTGATTGAAATAGCACTTATATGTTTGTTTTGTTTGGTATACTTGTTATGTGAAATGGCTGAGTTTTATTGATTCAAGTCCCATTTTTTTCGTTCGACGTTTGTAGGTTTTGAGGGAATCCCAGGAATTGCTGATACAGTGCGCCACACCTGATGCTGTGGCTAGGCTGGTTCATACAAAGGCCTCCACACAAGCTGACGACCTATGGGTGACCTACTTTACAGCTCAGGAACATTCAAGTTTGACGGCTTTCCTTCGAAAAGTGTTAACGACGGAAGAAAGTAAACTTGGCCAGCCTGAGGGAACTTTGATTCAGGTGAGAGTTGATTGACACTTTCATTAGGTATTACTGACGTATACTTGATTGTAGCTGAATAATTACTTTCAGAACTATTGTGAAAAATGGTGCAAAAAAAAATCAATGTATATCGTAAGGAGAAATATGCAGTAGCGGATCTAAGTGAGGGGCCCCCCTTCCCTTATTTGGGTAAAGAAATAAAAATCGTAGAAGGAAGAAAAGCCGGAAGGTGTACACACACTCACGCACGCACGCACACACGCACACACGCACGCACACACACACAACCCCTTCCCCCTCCCTTAGCTCAAGGTCTGGATCCGCCACTGATATGTTCTTATATGGGGATATTTTTCCTGAGAATATAACCACAATCTCGTAACGTATACTTATTACCTCTGAAGTGAGCTATACTTATGCGGATTCTCCGAATTATTTAAAGGTGACGACCCATGCCAGGTTACTCTCATCGAATGATTTGAAAGATATTTCAGCTGCTACCTCTTTACCACTGTCAAATGTCTCATGTCTAAGTCTGCAGCAATTCCACACAGAGCAACAGTTCTGCTCGTCTGTAAGGTGAGGACGTTTTTGTGAGAGGTAGATCAAGTGCTAGGTAATTGTTGATAACTTCTTTTTTCAGTAATTAATGAAGTAGTAAAAAGTAGTAAGACTTAGTTAACAATTTCACTCCGTTTGTAAATTCATGAATACCAACTCGTGTTCGCAGGGACGTTTTTGCGAAACTTGGTGGAAGAGAGGGACTGCTCATAGTCCAGTGTGATGCCGGAGATCTGAACAGCAAATTGATCCCCTGTGCTCGTCACTTGCTAGTGGAACAGAAAACCACAGTAGAGCAAGATTTTCTGGAAAGCGTTGGGCATGCTCCCTCCTCATTCGTGCATATTGTTCTCGTCATTCAACTGCCTCGTCTTGTTGGAGGTTGTCCAACTTTCGCTGGTTTTCAAGGAGGACGCTGGAAATCTGTCCACATCGATGAACTTCGCCCACCAACAGGTCAAATACCGGCAATTCAGTTTATGGTAGACCGATCAGTCAGCGACTTGTTTGACGTGGCACCGACCGTCACACGGGCTGATGATATGGAAGTTGAAGAGGAACAGGAAACAGAGGCTGATGTCGACATGGACGCGTGGGAGTATGTTTCCGGGAGTGATGCCATTTTGGATAAAGTAGATATTATCAGTCTTCTGAGAAGTTGTATTCAAGCTGCTGTTGCAAGACTTGACGAAGAGTCCTGGCGTCCATCACGGTCGACGCGCCGTATTGAACTAATGTTAGGTCTTCTCCCGGAATGCAGATCCAGTAGGACTGGTAACTATAACAGTATACCGCCTTTCTTCCAATAAGCGTCGCGACTCAAATTTTATTTTTGTTACAGACGCCACTGATTTCTAAGCTCTTTAATGTAACACGCACCTCTATTCCAATAAGCGCCTCTGATCTGTCTAAATATTTTGGGTTGTCAGAGGATATTGCAATCAAATCTTGTTTATCTTTCGATATATCAACAAAGTTGAAGTGGTAAATTGGCCACCGTAACGATTACAAAAGCTGACGTTTCGAGCGTTAGCCCTTCGTCGGAGCGAATAGAGGAATTGTGGGTTGTGTGCTTTTAAAGGCAGAGAATGGAGCTACGTTATTGGTGGGAACATGGCAACGAGAAAAACAAGAATAAATTAGTGGAATGAAAAGCGTTCGTTGATCCCTGTGGGATTTAGACTACCGGTTTGAAAGATGAGCTTTTTGTTCAAGATTTTTACGGCTTTCCGTGCTACCTAAGTGTAAGGAAAGACCGCAGATTGCCATATGTTGCTTAGAATGATTAGGTAAATTAAAATGTCTAGCGACTTGTTTATTTTTCCTTACTTGCTCAAATGATGTCGCAATACTTTCACGTACCTGGACGTCTAGATTATCTTTTCATTACATTTGGTGGAGATGACAGGCTACTGAGTCCTGCTTGATCCATTTCCGAGCAATAAATTGGTTCTTAGCCTAGAAATTTACTTAAGTAGGAGTCCTGCTCGAGTGAACTTTCATAAAAAAGGACTAAGGCACTAAGTCATTTTTTCCGGTAACCGGCGAGAGAGAGAAGTATTTGCCAGTTGAATGAAAGATGCTTGAATTATACAGGTGTTCGCTTAGTTTTGAAGGTTAGCTAATCAGAGTTCATCCTATTTTTCAGATTTGTCATTTGCTACCCTCTTGTCTCGGCGAATCCATAACCTTCTTCAAGAAAAGGATGAGCGGGCTGGGATGAAAGCTACAGAGTGGTTACGTACAGAAGCCTTGAGTGGTACCGGGATCCAAGAAAATGGAACATTCAGAAAAGCACTGTGGCAGAGAGTGTATTCGTCGGTGATACCAATTCTCTCTGAAGTTATAGCCCTTGTGGATCGCGATTCTAACTTGGAACTTGTCACGGGTGAAGGTACCTGGTTGTCACGCCTTTGGATATCACTTTTCCAAAGCCAAGATGTCGTTGAACTTCAGTACGAAAACTTTCTGTCCTTGGAAAGTGGCGTCATAAGGGAGCGTGTACCAGTGATGACTTCTGCGCGCGAAAGACAAGATTTTGAATTGCAGTTTCCTTTCTCATGGCTGATCAAGAAGGAAATTGATGCCATGTGGAAAGGGGCCTGTAGTATTGCAGGTGACAATTTCATTAATTTCCAGCGTATCCATTAGGTACCTTCTTTCTAATTACAGCAGTAAAACACAAAAATGCACATTATACCTTCATAGCACGCTAATCTTTGACGATTGTTAAGTTCAGAGTTCAGACAAAATTTGCAAGCAAAAACAGAAAGTGCGTTTTAACTGTTTAAGTACTTTTAATTGCGGTACACTTCATAACTTTTACTCAATGAATTTATGGAGTGAGTTTTGTGAGTTTTTCAACTTCTTTTCCAAACAGTATTGCGTACGTCTTGATTTAGCCGGCATTGCCTTAGTTTAGTGACAAGGAGGGAAAATGGGAGACGAAGTCACAGATGAATATCTCTCTTTCACCGTATAAACGTAAGTGAGAATCGAAGTTCTTGAACTCATTGCTGTTTCGTTCCATTATAAGCGAGAACGAACCTCCCAGTTCAGCAGTGTTTGCGCGACCTTGTTACTGATTCGGAAATCGGAAGGCTACTCGAAGAATCTGAATATGAAGGCTACGAGGAAGCCGCAGTGATGCGCTACCTTCACGACTTCGTTCACATGGTCCAGAGGCCGACACTTCTTGGAGAGGAACAGGTAGGGTATCATAAAAAATTAGCGATTGGATTCTCTTATCTCTTACTTTCGTAATCCAGATCTGGTTTTATTGTAGCAAGATCATAAGAATTACAATCGAACCTGTATTTAGCAGTCGATTAGCGAAGTCCCGAATTTGTTTTCCCTTAATCACTGTAGTGTTCACCTGTAGTTAGCGGTCACTTGTAGTTAGCGGTCACCTCTATTAAACGGTCCCATTTGAGCGAGTTCCAACGCAACTGCTCAAACAAAACTTAGAATATTCTTTCAAGTAAAACTTTTATCCATATTTCTCTCTCGAAATCAATGGTAGAAGTATATATATCTTATTAACCAAGCGCGAGGGCCGTACTGGGAGAATATCAGCCCGAGGGCCGATAATCTTCCAGTACGGTCTCGAGCAAGCTTGGTTAATAAGAGATTTATTATACGACTGAAGTTCAAAGGGACACAAGTGCGGTATCATTCGGGACCATTCGGGACAGTGCCCGGTCCAATACTTAGAGAATATTGGACCGGCGATAGAGCATTTTGATTGGTTGATTTTAGTTATTGGCCCTCTGACTGCCCGAGTCGTGTAATAATTTTGTATATTAAGTCAATTGTAAGTAAATTGTAAGTAAGTCAATTGTGTTACATAGCGTTTTTTATTCTTTGGAACCTGTATTCCGCTGTCAACCTGTACTGAGCGGTCACCCCGCTATTCCTTGTGGGTGACCGCAGGTTTGACTATATGCACGGCAAGCACCCAATCAGTGTTTTACTTGAAAAAGAAATCCAAACTCCTTTTATGCCACCTATCTGTTTACCTTGTGAAGCGCGTGAAGCACTAGTGAACCTTGCATATAGCCTATTCCACTATCACTGCGTTGACTCATGTAGGGGACTCAGATTTTGATTTGTCACACGTTGGCAGAGACTAGGCCTATCGTCTTTTCCATTTACTGACGAGTGCTAGTCTGTAGATGGCGATAAAATTTACTAATGACAGTCACATGTGTTCTGAGAAACTGGGGTGAACTTGAAACAATCTATCCAGCTGCGTCTTTATTATCTTTAATCTGTGGCGATTTGAATTAATGTTTTAAAGTTATCACTAGCTACCAAACTGCCACCATTTATTTGTTCAGAAGCCTGAAAATTTATTCTTCATTCTTGTTTGTCACTCAACAGCTGATTAGTCAAGCTATTGTCACAGCCGCTCGCGAGTTGCATGATGAAACCGGTTCAGACGAGGAATTCACTCTTACCATCTCATTCATCCACGTGGCTTATGGTCACATCGAGAAACGGCTGGCTTACTTCTGCCAACTACTACAGGCACAACCAGATATTGTAAGCAGCCTTCTGGAACTCATTCCTCCAAACGAAACGGAGATGGTAAGTTTATTGCTTGTCCTGCAATTGAAACGTTCCTGAAAATTAGACTGATAAGCCGGGTGGAATTAACCATGTCACGCTAAGCCTTTCATGCAACGCATTTATATTTTTTAATTATAAATAAAAACAGTACAGCAGTAAGATTGACATGAGAGAATGATATCTTCTAGGTTTTGGATGCTGCTGCCCTAGAGATTTGCCTCTCCAAACTTGAACCTGGTGCTGAAGAGTTTGACGATCCACAGACTCGTTTAGTTTGGTGTAACAGGGTGTTGAATATTAGAACAAGTGCTGAAAACATGATCAGTAATCTTTCACCAAATGGCCGTAAAGTAAATCACATTCTACATAATTGCAGGTATGTGGATAAGGTAGCTACTCTGAAAATATGTTCTGAACAGACAATCGATTGGATTTTATTTTTATTTTATTTTATTTAGCTTCGCCAACCTTCGCCAACCTTTGCCAACCTTCGCCAACATCGCATCAGCTTGCGCCGATTACTGCCACCCATCCCACCCCAGGGGAGGACATCCATCACACAGTAATCTCGTGTGTGGGAAATTAACGTCTCCTGTTTAATACTGTAGTTAAACCGGGACCTCCATTTATTCGTCCCTATCCGAGAAGACTAGAATATCTAACCATTTCTTGATGTTATAGAAAGGCAGCAAATTCTTCTCAATTATTTTAAGACCCTGAGTGTTGGTCCGGCCGGGACTCGAACCCTCGACCTCCCGCTAACCGGGAGGCGGTTGATATTTGCAAAAAATTTCGGCGGATGATATTTACAAAAAATTTCGGCGGATATTTACAAAGAATTTCAGAGCTCAGAGAAAAGCACCGTAAGACCAGAACCACTAATCACATTTCAGTTTTTGTTTCGGTGAATTTCGCTTTGCTTTTGGCTCTCTTAGCTTCTTACCTGAAGTACATTAGAGAGAAATTATAACAGCAATCAAGATCACTTTTTAGAGTTTCAGCCAAAACGGAACGGATAAGGATATTATTGTTATTAATATCAGTAATTTTTTTCCTTTTCTTGAAATTCCTGTGTCAGGTCAACTTGGCAGAGAGTAAGTGCTGTGCGATTGTTTATTGAGCATACCTGCCCTGGCACAATTGTGTGCCATTCAGCAGATGTCAAAAATGTTTTCAAATTGTGGAAGGTGGGTCAAAACATCTATGCTTGTATCTGAATAGCAGAAGACTGTGGTGTGGTTCTTAGTCATTTGAATTTAGATCGATAAAATTTTAGCACTACTATTTTCTGTTAGCTTATAATAAAACCTTTTTAACAGGCATTAGGTGATGAGACAGACTTTACAAAGCCACAAACAATGCGAGTTATTGAAAAGTTTCTCGTGGATTGCAGTGAGGTTGTCAGTAAACGTTATACCAGGTAAGGAGATGGCAGTAGAAAGGTTAGGGTAGTTGATCAGGATTTGACCTTTGTCAGTGTGATTTAAAAAAGACAGTAGTGTTACTAATTATTTTCTAAAACTTTGTTGATAATGTTCGTAATTCACCACGATGAGATTAAACCTCTCCTTCCAAAGTTCATCGTGCTCCCGTGCGTGCGTCGATCTATCGACTATCAGATACTTTTCCACGTAACTCTAAAGCAGCATTTCTTCTGCCCCACAGTTATGGTGTGAGCGCTTGTCCTGTGTGTCGGGATAGTCTGGCTCACAAGGATCCTGTTAAAATGCCCTGTGGTCACGTAATTTGCCTCGTTTGCGTCACTAACTGGATTGAAAGGGAAAGAACATGTCCGTATTGCAAGGGAGACTTACCGGATAATTTCAAGGTCTTATCTACCAAATTCATAAGGTATGACGAATTAAATTACGCCCAGGTAGCTCGCACAGAGCCAGAGAGCCTTTGTAAATACGTTTGTTATGCGCAGAAGACCACATCCAAGACCTTTTGTAGAAGTAATGGCTTCTTATGTTTTAAAGCGCGTTTAATTTGAGTGATGTAAAACTAAAACCAAAGTATCACACAACGGCCAGTCGCCTACAGATCAACTTGCTTATAGGTCAGTTTCGCCTACAAGTCATGTCGCCTTCGGGTCGGTCTGCCCCTAAGTCAAGTCCCCTACAGATCAGTTTTGCCTACATGAAAAAAAACTATGTTCAAGGGGTAAGCGCGCGTAACCAAGTCGTTATTGCATCTGGTTGGCCGATAGGATGGAGCTGATTTTCTAGATCTACTGAAACGCTCAGTGAAGCGAAATCATGCTATTCTAGAGTACTTTCAACTTTCAATTGACGAGTTCGTCATCAATCGACGAAAAATTAGATTGACTAGAATAGCGTTAGATTATATTTGTTTCGTAAAGAAGTCCTATGGTAAGCGTAAGTATAAGTTCCTCACACATGGCGGTTGGTGAGATTGATGATAAACTTGACGAGAGGAAAACGAAAAGTTGCGCTTTCCTCTGAGTGAACTTATCATAATTTGCTAAACACTGTTGTTGTCATTAAAGAAAGCTATAACCGCTATACATAATGTGATGTTCTTAGTTTAAGAACCACTCATTGACTGATTTGAGTGTGCAATTGTATCTACAGGAAAGCTGTTCGAGAACACTTCGATTTCCGTTGTCGGTGTAACTCCTTCTTCATGGAGCTTGTTTCTTTGTTTTGTTTTGGCACAAAGGCGGATGATGGAGCTATGGATCCTGAACTGTTTGCAATGTTCATGAGTTATGTGATAGAAGCCACTTCAAAGACTAAAGACTTTTCTCCTTTTCCGGAACATGGCATTGATGCAACACCTGTAGTTAGATCGTTTCTGCTACAACAACTCCTGAGAACAGGGTATGTACAGCTAGCTGGTAGTGGGGGCAATATATGTATATGATTTGTGGGGCTTAAAGTGACAAAACCAATGATCTGTCCTACGATCCTGGGTTGATAAATTCCTTAGATATTGCACATACATGAACAAAAAATCACCAATCTCTTCTTCCTTTTTAATGTTACTCGAAACCAACCTCAGGGTTCGAAAGCTTCGTCTTTAGAAGAATTATTTCATAATTTATATTAGGAAAATTCTATATTCTCCGAAAATGAATATAATATCACTTCATGATATCTTTCTATGATCTTGGTTTCTTTTCATTTGATGTTGCTCATTTTTAATGTTTTGTTTCAGTGACAAGGAAGTAAAAGAGCATTTGTCACACTACTTGTCCAGAGCTCGAGAACTGAGACCAGAGACAGCTCATATGTTACAAGTCTGTCAACTTTTTGTGCACTGTTGGGAGGTGAGCTTTGGAATTACAAGTTATCTAAAATACGCGATACTGGTGTCGTTTGTGGGCTCAACCTTTGATCTGGCTCTTCCCATGATGACGAGAGATCGATTTATATATCTTATTAACCAAGCGCGAGGGCCGTACTGTGAGAATATTGGCCCGAGGTCTTGAAAGTACGGACCGAGCGTAGCGAGGTCCGTACAAAAAATGCCAAGGGCCGATATTCTTCCAGTACGGTCCCGAGCATGCTTGGTTAATAAGAGATTTATTATACGACTAAAGTTCAAGGGGACACAAGTGCGGTATCATTCGGGACCATTCGGGACAGTGCCCGGTCCAATACTGAGAGAATATTGACCGGCAATAGAGCATTTTGATTGGTTGATTTTAGTTATTGGCCCTCTGACATCCCGAGTCGTGTAATAAAAAGTAGTAATGATTACTCTTCCCCTCCCTTAGTTATTTCCTATTTCTTTAAGCGTTTTAACATCACAAGTAAACATAATGATAAACCTACCCATACAAGAAAAACGTTTTTCTTGTCTTAGTTTTAAACCTAAATTTGTAATTAAATTGTTTTCCCTTCACGAATTACTATACTGTACAAATTGCTTTTCTCCTGAAATAACCACCTTTCCAAAAGATAATGTATTAGTCTGTCTATCACTGAATGAAAAGTTAATCTTAACAAGCTTTTCAATACTTTTTCGTTTACTCTCTTTGCAGGACTCCCTCATCAGCCTGTACTCTAAGGCCTCGGACAATTTACTTGTTATGATTAAACTTGCTCAGAAACTTATCGAAGAATGTACTCCTTTGCTTATCTCCAACTCGCTACAGCAACGCACAAGAGATATTGATGTAGATGTTTTAGAAGCCGTTGCTAAAGCGCGCTATGCTTTAGCATTAGTTGCCGAGTTTATGTACGAAAGTGTCACAGAAAACGATGTTCAATGGAATGATCTGTCAGTAAAAAAAGAATTACAAAGCCTTTTTGATGGAGCAAGGAGAATGTGCTACAAGAGCCTGATTCATATTCCCCGATTGTACCTCCTGAAACAGTTAGCGAGGAGGTTCGGTGTAGAGTCGATCAATATCTTGTGCGATAAAAAGGAGTCTGAGTGGATTTTGCCTCAAGAAATTAGAGACAAACAGGTAAAATGCATGAAGAAGTTGAATAGGTTAATACCCTCTCCTCTTATTTGAGTTTTTCATCTCTTTTTACTTACAAACTTCTTTTCTCTTTATACTCTCTGAGGTAAGTTAATTGTCTTTCATTCATTTTGTTTTTTTTTCTTTACCAGCAAGAGGATACTGTTCCTGATAGGTTTATCATTTACGGAGAAGAATACAAAAAAATCAGAGAAGCTATGGCCAAAACTGTGTTGAGTGGTACACACAAGGAGTTGAATGGTGCACTCCAGGTAAGAAATCGTGAGAGACTGCTTCTAGCTGCGTATATCTGCTATATTCACACTCTAGGTCGCTACAGTCTCAAACTCTAGATCTGTTCCGAAAGCTCGAGGAATTTTTGAATGTCGTGTTGTCTTAAGGACGGTGCCTGCTAATAGGGATCTAATTTCGCCTAGCCAGTGACTATACAAGCAGAAAAGATCTTATCAAGGGCTCTCAAAATCCGGAAAAGAGATAATGTGCGACTTACCCGCTTAAGGGGTATGTTGTTTCGCGGGGCCTTGATCTTTGTTGTTGTTGTATGAAATGTAGAGCCACAAAAGTTTCGAAAATTCTCTTAAAGTTGTGTTTGCAAACCTTTTTTCTTTCCATGATGGGTCGAGGAGATCTTTGATCCGTGTGGGAATGTGAAATGACCGTGGACATCCCGAAAGGTTCAAAATTTTTAAGGAAAAGCTTTCATTATACCATTGATGGGTTCGTGCCGAAGTCCTTAATAAGGTGTTACCTCTTCCGTTCCATCCCGATCAAGTTAGACGGGTTGGAGCTCAAATGAAAAGTACATAATCCAAGAATAATTGAAATTTAAGCCTTAAAAGCGACGGAATTAGCTCTGGAGTAACGAAAAATGGACATCACAAAAGTGCAAGGACTACTATGGCCGGAAAGTGAAAACAGAACTTGCTGACTTCAAGTGAGGCTTTGTGACATCTTTACTATCATTTAAAATGACAAATTTTTTTTTAAGCCTTGACATGTTGCTAAGGTATGGTTCAATCGAAGATTTTGTCTTCTAAATTATTCAACTTTGAGAATTTTTAACACAACGCTACGCGATTTTATGGCCGTGAAGTTACGTGAACAACGGTGGTGAATATATCGCCCAGGCCTCTGAAATGCAAGAAACTAATTTATTTTTCGCCTCTGAACGGTCTATTTTAGACACGCGAAACTCTTATTATGGATCAATGGGTAAAACAATTTTCTCATCATTTTTCCTCTTGTTTCTCTTGGGGACCAATTGATCCATAAATTATGGAGATAACCATCCCCCTTCACCTCGGCTGGTTTCTCGCGTTGTAACTGCGGGAGACGATTTTTTCCACCCACGTGCCAGCACGCACAAACATGGCGCGAGAGCGCAGTGGTAATAGCAGGCACCGTCCTCAAGCCTGGTCACATAGCTATAGCTGCTGTCATGGTGATATTTAGGGCGTGGTCGTGTTGTTGCAACTTAAAGGTTGATTGACGATCTCATCTTTTGACCACTAAGGTATACACGCAGAAAATAATAATAAAATACTGGAAAAGAGAAAAACGAAATGGAAGGATGTGAAGAGGGCGAAGGCCACTCAACTCACCCGTGACAGACAGGTGGTTTTTAAAGTGCATGTTTCGAGTTATTTTAAAAGATTTAGCGGTGAAATGTATTTTTCCTTAATTTTTTGTAGAGCATTGTCCTGCCACTCGTTGTGAGAGATATCATGATGTTGTTGTCTGAATATCGCGAAGTGACCACTTGTTATGGTTTCACCTCCACCCAACGACAACTCTCCACCAAAGTAAGAAACTAACAGTCCTTTTTGTGTAACCGTGGCACATACTTAACTGATTCTCCACTCTAAGGAGTTCTGTTTCTGTACACTTGGGATGTCAATCAGCCGAACAAACACCCACAGACATTCAAACAGAAAGGCAGTTAACTGAGTCATATCCGTGAATATACTGAATATTGTTTGCAAGCCTTATTTTGATAGACAAGAGGTGTATATACATCTAAACAGCCAGGAAATAAATACATGCCCTTTTCTCCATTCTTTCAATGAGGATGTAGAAAATCATTCTTGATCAAGAAACGTGTGGGAAATCTGTGTTGCAAGGTTTTCCTACGCTGTTTTAGATTTTCTGCATCGGTAAGATTTTATCGTGGCCTTTAATAGCTTATCAAATGGTTTGCTCTTTCAGGCTCATCAGTGTTTTGGGAAATTTCTAGCTGATGGTGCTCAGCTTTCTGCCAGGGTGAGTTTAAACGAAGCATGCTGTTTCTGACTTTTTTTTTTAATTTTAACATTTGCCGTTTGCTCCTTGCTTCCTCTTGTTCTTCAGAATCTCAACGTCATTTTTTCTCTTCAGGCCCAACAGTTCGCCGTTCAGCTTCTAAACAACACTCAAGGTGATGCTGGGTTTCCTGGCGTCCGAGTAGCTCCTGGTCGATCAGCGCGGGACCAAACTTTGGCGGAAATCGTTATTCATACTACAGTTGTACTTCAGTGTACAAATCAATTGACTGTGTGCGAACCACTGCGTCTACTTATGGACAATCCTGTTGCTTTAATGGTATGCTTAAGACCCTTAAGGAAGCCAAACCTTGTATTCACTGTGTCCCTGACTGCTCATGATAGTAACTGCTTAATTGAAAACAATTTCAAGAAGTGATTTCTTTTGATAAAGTTGCTTTTGTTTGTCTCTCAGGATTCCTATCTTCCTACAATGCCAGACGACAACCTTCAGGAAGCAATGGCTGGAATAAATGAGACTGGAAGTTGGTATCGTAAGTAACTCAAAATGTCCGCTTTAGTGTAGTCTCGGTTAGCTGACGCATAGTTCGTTATTATGCTTACGGGAAATATACTTTTCTTTGCAGAATGCCCAAGAGGACATCCCTATTACGTCGGAAATGTAAGTTTCACCTAGCTCGAGCAATAAAAACGCATCAAGAGGAACTGAAGTGCGTTGGTCCAAGGCACTCCTCAACAGGGGTTTCGTTGGCGGAGTTAGTGGTGGCTGCAGAAATGATGATTTAGTACCCAAACTATACTCTTTTTTTTTTTTATTTTGAGACATTTCCACTTAAAAACCTTCTAAGCACTGAGAGTTCCTCGCTTAAAAGTTGCAATCATCGTTTACTGTATTCAAGGCACAGGTAGACATTACAGCAGTCGTGCACCTCTCTCCCGCAAGACTGGCAATAGAGAGATTTAGCACTGCGCTTACGTGAAACGGCGAACGTAAGCTTGACCTTTTACGTTTCATGTAAAATAGCGTAAACATTACTGCTTTAGCTTTGCGTGAACTCACGTCAATACGAGTTTCGATGAAGGTATCTCGTAAGTCAACGTGAGTTCATGTAGCTTTCTGCTGACAAAAAATGCAGAATTTGAAGGATTGTAAACGTGACATTCCATCTTCCCTCATATGACTTACAGGAAATTATTTTGGTGCACTTTTTTCCGGCAACTAGATTTTCCTCAGTGGGAGAAAAAGGGAAAAAAGTATTACCTACATGGCAAACGCGAAACAGCTTACTTTCATGTAGAAACGGCAAAGTGCAGCTGGCAAACGTGAAAAAATGGCGGGAAAATCGTGGTCACTCAAGCTGTTCACGTTTTACGTAAGCGCGGTGCTAAATCTGTTTAATATCGTCCATATATACTGTTTTTTTTTGGCAGTGTGGTCAACCCATGGAAATGAGGACTTGCCCTGAGTGTAAGGTCAACATAGGTGGGTCAGGACATCAACTCACTCAAGGAAATACAACAATTCAGAGGTACGGAACAAAGCTTTATCTGGTCATTTTAGTCCTTTCATTTCAGTGGTCGTTAGATTAGTCATTGTCGGCTCTATAGAATGCATGTATTTTGCACCATATAAATGATTAAGTTATTATTAGTGTTGATTTGAAAACCTTGTGGAAAATCCCATACACTTATTGTTTTGCCAATTTCTGTACTGTTACTTAAGTTACACTAAACTTATAGTAGAGTTCAGCTTAGAAATCTTTTCTTTTGCTTGTTGGTGACGTTTCCTTGGGCTTTCCGGGAAGTACTCTTAATCAATGGTTTCAACTACAAAAATGCCATTTGTGCAAGGGTAGCAGGCTAGTGTGACCAAAGTTTCAAATGAACACATTTGACTATGCTATGTTTGGTCTGTAGGGGTGACCGAACAATGACGGGTCACGTGCTTGGCCGTGCAGATACCAGATCCCAAGGTCTTGCACCTGAAAGGCATTTGTCGTCTGTAGTCGTCGGCATCACAAGGATTCTTATGCACTGTGCCATGATTGAAGGAGCCCACCGGCATCCACAGGTGAGCTGGTCCTTTATCCCTTTGACTATATCTTTATCATAAAATGACTCTCTTTCCCACAGTGAACAAACTAGTAAGAGCTAAAATTTAAACCCAAGACTTGTCAGGAAAATTTTTCTGGGATTCATTCCGAGCCGCCTTTCTTTCTTTGGTTCACTCTTTAGATATTAGGGACTAGCTGAGAGGACTGAAATAAATTTTGTCTATGCGCAGTGTCCCTTACCTCTTTTGTCACTGTTTTTGAAGACGTTTTTGTTGATGTGTTTCCTTTTGTTTCCCGGCGCTTATGGTCTCAGTTTTGTTGTGAGGACACATAAATCATCAAGACTGGTTAGAACAATAAGGTAGTTTTAGTAAAACAGATCGATCTTAACGTCTATGAATGAATAGTTATCTAAAAACTAAACAGAAGTATTGGTTAAGTTCTTTTCTGCACATACTTTTTATGGCCCGCTTTTGTATTTCTTTCGTAGACATCAAGGAGTCCAATGCACATGAATTCTGAAAGGCCAGCTAATTTTTATTGCTATTTTTCTTTGTGTAGAATATTTCCCACCTCATCAATCCCAGAATTCCACCAGCGGCATTGACACGTTTTTTGTGGGATCACCTGCAGTTAGACCTTGAAGTTCTCGCCAGAAGCCTGGGAAGGAGTGTTGACGACACGGTGCTTTGTGTCCATATGGTCCTTGCACAGATGACTGCGCATGTCAACAGTGGTAAGCTTCTAAGAATTCTAGATATCATGGCACCTCTCTCTTTCGAATAAATGATGAAAAAAGAACTCGGGGATTTGCCAATTCTAACCAGAAACTGTATATGTTCACCCACTAAGGCATGGTTTACAGTTATATGGAAACAGCTTTAAAATTTGTTTCAGCACCTGTAGGCTCTTACAATTTTTCGTTTACGAAGAGCAAATTGAAGTTATATCAAAGTGAATTGATATAACTTCAATTGTTAAAGGGCAACTTCATAAGAGGGTCCGCAAAAACAAAAATTAGCTAATTTTTTTAGCTGGCCTTGAGCCACTCCAGGAATCATTATGTTAAAAATGATCTTTTGATTAGTTGTTCTTACTTACGCCTGATCGAGATGGTTTTTAAACAAATTAAATCTTTAATACAGCTTTGGTCGGGGCGGTTTTTAGGCGATGCTCTGAAATCGTTCATTACACATACATTTAAATGATATATAGAAGTGTTCTGTGTCTTGTAATTTCGTCTGTTGAAAAGCAAAAGTTTTCTTTAACTGTATTATGCAAAACAGTGGTGAAAATTAAGAGGGTATGGCTACGAATATAAATTTAACGCGTGAATATCAAGCTAGACTACGAGCAGTCCCTCCTTCTCGGCGAAGTCCGTCGCGCGAGTCGAAGAAAAAAGTTGCTGTTAGCGCGCCACGGGAACTCTTGTGACGCTGATGCACCGCAGGAGCCCCATGAGTGAGGCGCTCGAAAAGTAGGGACTACGCACTAAGCCGAAGATTTTGAATTGTGCCTACCACTACTTTTCGAGCGCAACGGACTTCGCCGAAAAGGTGGGACTGCTCGTAGTCTAATATCAAACAAAATAGGGAAAACTGCAACGTGTGGATCGTGGCCTTATACGACAGGAGGGTTTATTGTTTTATCTTTTAGATCCTGTACATTGCTATTTATGTATAGCCGAACATAATATTATGTGTGCGCCTTAGGTTCAAATATTTTATTACATTAGAAGGAGAGATAGATACCGGTTGAAACAGTTTCATGTATGATCTAATGAGATTTGAAACGTTTTAGCGCAACAGGCCGCAAACATTCCTTATGACCTGAGATCGAAGGAGTCTCGGAGACAATGGGAAGCAGCTTTCAGTGCCACTGTCGTGACTCCAGTATTAACGGTATGTCAGAATTTTCTTGGAGTTCAGCTTTGTCCTTTTTGTTAGCGTATTAGGTGGTACGTTGCTCGCACCAATCAGATCGCTGCATTAGGGTATGCATGACACACCAATCAGATCACCGCATAAGAGTTCGTATCTCGCATCATATAGAACGCCGCATTAGGATATCTATCTCGCACCAGTCAGATCACAGTATTGGGGTATGCAGGCACTAATCAGAGTGTTGTCCCTAGCCTCATGCCAATCATGTCTTGAAATTAGGGTACCGCAAAATGTTGCGACGGAGTTAACTCAACATTGATGCACACCAAGAGTGAGATATTAACCAAGAATTGCGAGCTCACCTACCCAGTGTAATGGCTCATGTCCAACGTGACGACTTCGTCGCTATTATCTGTCGGGGTAAGAAAGGTCGCCTTGGAATCTCTCTACCATGAAAACGAAGTTAAAACGCGTTTTGTGTACCGCTCCTTCACTGATAACGCACGCGCCGTCAGCTAATGGTCTGACACGAAATTATCACCAGAGCATTCGTTTTGGAAAGGCTAGTTTTTTTGACTTAGGTAAAAATTGCGCAGAGCATTTGCTTTGAACATATTTGATCGATGATATTGTTTTTGCCTTATGACTGCTCTTTTGGCCAGGATTGAAAATATCAGCAAGTTATAAATGCTTTCTGCGTCGACTGCCATATTAAATATCCGTTTCTTTGCTTTTAAAAGTTCTCTATGAATTACATCTTGTTTTTAAACGGTATTTCCCCGATACAAGTACTTGTTCACTTGTCGCTATTGGCTAGACTATCTCAGACGAATCCCATTTTCCAGTAATCAACTTAAATTTTTCGACATAGTCGTACCCCACTGAAAAATTTCGCTTGGAAGTAAATCCTCTCGACATGACCGAACCACCTCAGATTCATCTGTATTAGCATGACCTCCATTGGTGGTAGACCAGCTCGATCCAGTACTTCTATGTTGGTTTTCTTGTCTTTCCGAGAGATGTTCATGGTGGCCCGTATGTGTCTCGTCATTTATGCGTGAGGTTTCTGTACCTGCACCCTGTAGACAGTCCCAAGTGTCAGCACCGTACAATAAAGTAGCCAGTACTGTCGCTATGTACACTTTGTATTTTACAAGAACAGACACGTCGGTTACTCCACTGTCTCTCCCTCAAGTTTCCGTACACAACACTCGCTCTTCCCATTCTGAGAAATAGTTCATCCTCCAGCCTTACATTCTCTAAAACAGTACTCCTGGGCGGGTTGTTCAAAGCTGTGTTAAGATAACCCAGGGTTAGTGTGAAATTTGATTTCAGATCTGAATGCTCTGAAAGAAAATTCAGCTTAATTCCATTTGTCTACAATTTGATGATTGAATGTCCTAAAAAGAACTAAGAAAATTATCCCAGAATGGCTTTTGATTAGAGAAATTTAGAAACCTGGATTAAAATTTAACCCTGGGTTAGAGCTAATCGGCCTTTGAAGAACTGGGCCCTGAGCTACTCGAAAGTCTTACACTTGACTAGTGGTTCTGCACCAATGCTGATCTCTTCTATTGGTGATGTTGATAACTGGAACTTTGGCGGTTGGTAAAGGTGTTCTGTCTTCTTGATGTAGATTTTGAGGCTGAATTGAGCAGCTGCTCTTGCAAATTTCTCCCCCAAAGATTGCTTATCTTCCGCACTGTGTGCAAATAGGGAACTGTCATCGGCAAAGAGCATTTCTCTTACCTTTGTCGATGTTTTACTCTTAGCTTTGATCTGTGCCATATTGAACAGGTCTGCTTCATTCCTTGTTTGAATGTATGCTCCTTTTGAGGTGTCTTTGAAGGCCACTTCAAGCATTGCTGCCAGACATAGTGAGAAGAGTGTAGGCGCCAGCACACACTCTTTTTTCACCCCGTTGCTTACTGAGAAGTCCTTAGAAACTGAACCACTCATTGCAACTAACCCATTTCAATCCACCCATCCGAAAAAAAAACTCTTTTATGCGTAGCACGCCTATTATTTTAATTGTTAGCTCACCGATTTTCTTTTTCTACCTTCTAGAATCTTGAAGGGCAAATTCAACACTGCCTACAAATGTTGGTTGCTGACAAGCGGCTTGGTTAGGCCATTTCCTCACGAAACAATAGCAATATGTGACCGTGGACATTGATACCCTTTCAGTTAGAAAACCGTCAACTCATTTAATTGTGGGCTTAGTGTACTGTCAACCGTTACAACTTAATTTAATAAGATGCTCGTAAACCAGATGGAGAATCGACAAATGCAAGTCTAAAGGGTATTATTCCCTTTGACAAGTAATTCCAAGGGGGCGGAAATACACTCTCACGTTTTTTTTGTTTTGTTTTGTTTTATTTTCTCCTTTTGTTGTTGGTTTTTTGTTTTATTTTTTTTGTAGTTTATTAAAAGTATAATAATGGTGGCTTTTGATTCCATCCGCAGGTAATAATCCCCTAATGCGTGAGCTGTTTGAGATAGACGTGCCTGCTGAAGATCTGACTGTTGATATCCCTCCCACTTGCCCCGCTCTATGGAGATACCGGACTCAGGTGACTCTGGATCACTTTGCACACACATTTCAACAAGAAGTATTGTCCACTGATCCTGGCAGGAACAAAGTGTTGGCGGAGTTTTTACGGCAGGTAAACCATATTAACCCTTTCACTCCTACGATCTCATTCGTAATTCGCCTTACTGTCTGCCAAACAATTCTTGTGATGTTAGTTTGGAGAATTTGGTTTTTGATCAACAGATAATCCCCTGATTTTCTTTTTTTCTTTATTCTCGTTACTCGTCTGCTTGATATTGTATTGATATTGTAAGGAGAAATTCCGCCTTGGTCACTCATGGGAGTTAAGGGGTTCAATTACGGTCACTTATCATTTTTGACATTTGTTCGTATGTTTGCTTTCTGGGCACCACTTGAGCTTATGAAGTTCATAATTCGCTGTAACTGTGGTTTAAACTGCGACTGTGTTGAACTGAAACATTTCTTGAAACGTAGGGTACGAGCTATCAGGAAAAGAGTAGCACCGACGGATGATGGATGGATGGATAGATGTCATCCATCCATTGCCATTAGTTTTACCTTTTACATCTATTTGTTATTTATCTATAGGAACACAAACTCCGTGCTCTTTGTTTTCTGCCCGACATTATAAAACTACAGCGTCTTCTGATGGACAAATTCCATCGTCGAATTGACAGAAATGAAGCACAGCGCTTGAGTATAAGAGAATTCATGCGGAAGATTCCTTCAAGTAAGTCGAATGTCGAGTGATTTTTTTCCTTCGTTTTACTGTTTTATCATATCCCTTTCCTTTTTTTTTTCCTCCACAGAAACAGAGAAAGACGAACTTGCGTCACTGATAGCGAGCTTTAACGCCGCATGGAACCTTGTGCGGCTTAGTCTTGATCAGCAGGGTACGTAGAGATAGGCAACATTTGTAAACGAGTATTCACGAATAAAACAAGTCGTAAACTTATTGGATGTTACGGTATTAGCAAGTGATTACACAGCATAAATCATTCATGTGACGAGGCACTCAGGACAGCATTTTACTCGCTTTTTAAAAACGGCTGACCATGGTCAAGTTCATGTTCTTCTTTTATCCTTTTCCCCCCTCCTACCCCCTCGCCCGCACAACATAGATGCACAAGGTGTGTAGAGGAGCAAAAGAGATGTTAAAAGTGCTACTGTCCTAGACTGCTGACTATGATTGTAGCTACATATGTATTATATCTCTTCTTAACCGTGAATTATTCTAAACAGGGCGTCTTCGTCCTCCAAAGGACTTGTGTGATCAGCCCATGGATAACTCACGTCTACTCGCTGTACTCCTGCCAAGTACCTCCGGCATGGGTATCTGTTCCACGGCTCTGGTATTTTTCCTCACCATGCTCCACAACGAGTTCAATGAAAGATATCAAAACTTGATTGGGGGGAGCGTGAAGTAAGTGCGACAAAGGAATCTTTTCCTCATTCCATCCACCCTAAGAGTTACTTTGCTAATAGTACCGTGAATGACCTCACAAGGCCTTTAACCCTATTCCAAGTTCCAGTGTAACGATATGCCACGTCCACAATATGGTAGATTTCCTTCTGTAGTTTCAAATGTCGCGCAGCTTTATATGGTTAATGAACCGAATGTAAAACGTCCAATTTGCCAATTTTAACGTTTTGACTTCTTTTTTTTTACAGGTTTATTTTGCAACTATTTTTTCGTCTTGCGCTATCTCTATTTATCTAGTTTGGTTTAAGATTGGGAGCCGAAAGGTCACGTTTTAAAGAAAAATTATGAATATGAATATTTTATGAGAACAAATGATCAGCGGTCAACATCATGTTCTCGGTGAACCAGCCACAAGTTGTTACAGAGAAGAATTGATAATAACTCATTTCAAAAGCGAACCTCTCCGTGTGACCTTTGGATATCCTTGTACCCGCTTGATGTTGTTATTGCAAACTTTAAGGTCATTGTTTTATGTGATTATTAGAGACCTGCCTCACATACAGCTGCAAGACGTGTCAAGATCACATCTGATTTCGTACGACACCGAACGGGATCTTCTACCCCTTATCTTGGCGCAGTGCAATTATTCTTTAGAAGTGGGTCGGGGAACATTGGTTCAGTACAACTGGGAAGCCCTTGAAAGACAGCTGATTGACAGGTTCATAAGGGGAAGACCACTTATTGATTTCAAGGTATAGAGTAGATTCATATAAACATATTGGTGTCTAACGCTGTAAAATATTTCTTGAAATTTCTGTCTAAAGTTTTTACAAAAGTTATTTGTTCAATGCTAAAGGAAATTAAGGTTTTGAGTATTATATCGTATGTACTTCATAGCATGAGAGGTTTGCATTCAGCAAAGACGCCCAGTTAGACTCCGTTTTCACTTCCGTGAAAAACAAGGTCCGGCCACAGGTAAAAGATTTTTGTTTCATATTTTCTCGATCTCTATTTAAAATGTGACCCACCATGAAGCTACTCCTGAAGTTGCTGTTGATCAGCGCGAAAAAAATGGTAATAAGACAAGTTATTATGATACGATAACAATGATGTTTATAATAGTTATGGTAGTACCAATAATGATGATGATATCAGTAAGAGAGACAAAACTGATAAAAACATACGATGGAGTTGGGATTGGAAATTAATTTTTTGTGTTGTGCACCTAAGTGGCTCATTTGTTTTTCTCGGTACCACCATGGCGATTCCGTCAAGGAGGTAGCCAGGCAGGTATTCAGCTCTTATTTACAGGTTGGATATTGAATATGTATCATTTGTACAATCACCGAGTAACAGCCTCATGAGTGTACATGTAGTTAGGAAATTTTTATTTTTATATTTTTTTGATCGTGAAATTAAGCATATATTGTCTTGGACTCAAAAAACAATTGTTTGTCTTGTCAGGTTCCTTTGAGTTCAGCAGTAAGCAGTCAAATTCTAGGCGAGTTTCGCTCATCACTGACAGACGTCTGTGACGTGCTGTCGTCTCTTGACATTGCAATCGGTTTCCTGTCCTCGACCGGTGGATCACCTGAAAAGCTGCTTAATGACTACCTACAACATGTACTACGCATGCCTCAACAAAATAGTCTTCGCAGTCTCAAGGTAGACATTTATTTTAACCGTGCGAATGCAAACGTACTGCTATGAGGGTTAGCTGTTTATGCACAGACCTTTGAGACCCTACGGTAATGTTTCAGATCTCGATTTTTTCGTTACAAAAAGTACGATAAGAAGAAAGATAAAACTTTAAAACACGAAAATGGAGTGAGTGGACAGTTTGGAAATACGGAAAATAGTGTGCCAGTGTCTCATTTTGTGTCTGGAATAGAAAATTGTCTTCCAACTTGAAAAGATCCTAAATATCGTAAATGTGTACGGAATCTGAAATAGACGAGTGCCTATGGCTATTTCTAACGGGTTTTACAATCTGTTTAATTCTGAAGACAGTCTCTAGCCCTATCAAAGTCAACGCGATCACCTTTTCATGTTAGCACATAACGCTGTAATTAATTGTACTCTAAGAACAGCTTGTTTTTGTGCTCTATTTCTGTTTAGGCGCAGCAGTGTTGTCAGTTGCGACACGTTCTCTCCCTCTGGCGGCTTTTGAACTTGGAGAGAGCAAAGATTTTAATCAGGCGGGGGGAGGTAAGGAACTTTATCCTCGGTAATATCACATCAATAATATATTAATCATATAATCATATCTTACTTAATAAGGACGCAATTCGCGCCCTGCACTTTAGAACTAATGAATATTATGCTCACGAAATAGAATAGTTGAGGCTATTTGTTTCCTACAGAGAATGAAGCATAAAAAGTAGCCAAATATGCGGATAAACAAAACGTGCATGAGCGTACAACTTTAAGATTTCAAAGGCCAGGATTCTGTTAATAATAATAATAATAATAATAATTTACATTTCTAAAGCGCTAAAATTATAAAATATTCTAAAGCGCTTTACAACATTATTAACTACAAATATTAAAATGATAAACGACAAAATATCAAAACAAACTGTAAGCCAGCTTGAATAGATGTGTCTTAAGCTTTGACTTAAAAATCGTTACACTTGGACTGTTTCGAATTTCAAGCGGCAGTTCGTTCCACAAAAAAGGTCCAGAACGGGCAAAGGCACGATCACCAAAGGTCTTAAAGTTAGTTCTTGGGACCTTAAGGAGACCCTGATCGCAGGAACGTAGCTGATGACCCTTGACACTGTGTGGCTGCAGATATTCTTTTATGTATAGTGGGCCTTGGTTATTTAAAGCTTTATAAATTAAAAGTAACAACTTAAAATGGACGCGATAAGCCACAGGAAGCCAGTGAAGATTATATAAGGCGGACGAGATGTGGTGAAACTTGGGAATCCTAAAAATTAGTCGAGCAGCGGCGTTGAGCACCTTCTGAAGACGCTCTGTCTGGTACTTGGGTACGCCAAATAAAAGGGAGTTGCAATAGTCTAAATGCGAAGTCACAAATGCGTGAACAAGAGTCTTCGTGGACTCAGGACTGAGGAATTTCCTAATTTGGCGAATTTTATACAATNGTAATAATAATAATAATAATAATAATTTACATTTCTAAAGCGCTAAAATTATAAAATATTCTAAAGCGCTTTACAACATTATTAACTACAAATATTAAAATGATAAACGACAAAATATCAAAACAAACTGTAAGCCAGCTTGAATAGATGTGTCTTAAGCTTTGACTTAAAAATCGTTACACTTGGACTGTTTCGAATTTCAAGCGGCAGTTCGTTCCACAAAAAAGGTCCAGAACGGGCAAAGGCACGATCACCAAAGGTCTTAAAGTTAGTTCTTGGGACCTTAAGGAGACCCTGATCGCAGGAACGTAGCTGATGACCCTTGACACTGTGTGGCTGCAGATATTCTTTTATGTATAGTGGGCCTTGGTTATTTAAAGCTTTATAAATTAAAAGTAACAACTTAAAATGGACGCGATAAGCCACAGGAAGCCAGTGAAGATTATATAAGGCGGACGAGATGTGGTGAAACTTGGGAATCCTAAAAATTAGTCGAGCAGCGGCGTTAAGCACCTTCTGAAGACGCTCTGTCTGGTACTTGGGTACGCCAAATAAAAGGGAGTTGCAATAGTCTAAATGCGAAGTCACAAATGCGTGAACAAGAGTCTTCGTGGACTCAGGACTGAGGAATTTCCTAATTTGGCGAATTTTATACAATCCATGAAAAGCTTTGCTGCAGATCTTACCAATGTGAATGGACATGGACATATTGGAGTCAAACCAGGAACCCAGGTTTCGAACACTGTTGAGAGGCTGAATGGTAGAATTACCGACTGTGATGGAATCAATTGCGATTTTTGATAATTGATGGCGGGAACCAACAACTAAGAATTCGGTTTTAGAATCGTTAATTAACAGGCGATTATAAATCAACCATGAGCGGACATCCGAAATGCAGGCTTCAAGAGCAGCTATGGCGTGGTCTTGCGAAGATATGTCATTGGGTCTAAACGACAGATAAAGTTGTGTATCATCGGCATATCCGTGAGCAGAGGGGAGATGGTTAGCGATCACGTGATATAGTCGAGATATGTATAATATGAATAAAATAGGACCCATACAGCTGCCTTGTGGGACACCGCAGTTCAAATGAAAATCATCTGATGTTCGATCGTTTATGAGAACACGTTGTTTTCGGCCAGACAGATAAGACGCAAACCATTTATGGGCAGAGCCAATGATTCCAAAATCGCTTTCAAGAACATTAAGGAGAATCTGATGATCGATTGTATCAAAAGCAGCGCTTAGATCCAGTAGCACAAGAAGCGTAATTTCCTGATGGTCCATTGACATAAGAATATCACTTTGAACCTTAAGCAAGGCAGTTTCGGTAGAGTGAAATCTTCTAAACCCTGATTGTAACTTCGGCAGAGGAGCATTGTATTCACAGTGCTTAAACAATTGAGAAAGAACCGCCTTTTCGACGATCTTGGAGATGAATGTTAGATTGCTTACCGGACGGAAGTTTTTATAAGTTAACTCTAGACCGGGTTTCTTTAATAGAGGTTTCACAATTGCAGTTTTCCAATCATCGGGAACATAGGCGTGGCGAATAGACAAATTTACCATGCGAGTAATGGAGGGCGCAAGGACGTCAAGACAAGACTTCACAAGCCATGTAGGGATTGGATCCAGGGAGCATGAGGCATTAGACGATGTACTGATTATATTGCAAACATCTTCCACTGATAACGGCGAAAAACTGTCAAGTTCTACAGCTGGAGCAGCAGTATCAGAATAAGGAGGATTAACTTCAATATCACTGATGGAATCTTTGATGAGTTCAATTTTTTTAACAAAGAATTCCCCAAATTTATTCGCAAGTAGAACTGGGTCATCATGAGGTGGTAGATCATTAACATTAGGACCCTTACAAAGGAATGAAACCAATTTGAACAACTTCCCGGAGTCACCAGCGCACTGACCAATTAAATCTGAGTAATAAGAAGCTCGAGTAGACTTGAGAAGAGCAGAATATCTATTACAGATTTTACGATAAGCAAGCCAATCTGAAGAAAGACCACTTTTAAGAGCTTTCCGCTCAGCCTTGCGACGAATACGTTTAAACTGGAGAACATCAGCGTTAAACCAAGGGATCTTTGCACGAGTAACAAGAGTTTTTGTCTTTATGGGAGCATGTTTATCCAGGATTTCTGTTAAAGTCGAGGAGTACTGCTTGGATAAATCGCCAAGGTTGCTCCAGTGTGTGTCACTGCAAAGTACAGACGAGGTGATGTCCGATTTAAATGCATCAATGTCGATGTTCTTTAACCTGCGATATGACACAGACTTGGTAGAGATTGATGAACTTGGGAAGCGAATAAAACACTCAACAAAAAAATGATCCGAGATGGGTAAGGTGACGTTAATGGGACCCAAAATTAAGTCACTGGTGGATCGAGTGATGATAAGGTCCAAAATATGCCCAGAAATATGCGTGGACATCGTTACGTGTTGTGAGAGGCTGAAGGTTTCCAGCAACTCTTTAAATCTTATAGCACAATTGCTATGCACCAAATCCATGTGAAAGTTGAAATCCCCAGCGATAATAAGAGGTTCAGGACACATGACAATGTTTTCAAGATACGACGAAAACTCATCAAGAAATACCGACGCAGAAGAGTTGGGAGGGCGGTAAACAGCAACAATACGGATAGAGCGATTTGTTGTCTTCAAAATCCATTCGGAAAATTCAAAAGAATTATGTTCCTTCCCGTCCAGAAGTGTGGCATCAAAAGAGTCGCGGAATAAAATGCCTGTACCACCGCCAGATCGATTTGATTGCCGTGGAAAACTCTTGAATAAATAGCCATGACGAGAAAGATCAGCAATGCAGACAGAATCTAAATCGTTTAACCAAGTTTCAGTAAAAATACAGATACCGATATCATTGCCAACAGCATGGTCAATGATTGTTTCCACTTTGTTCCTGATAGAGCGAGCATTACAGATTGCAAAGCGAAGATTATTTGAAGAAAGACTCGATGACAGCAATGATCTCAGAGGCTTCAAAACGGACGGATTGACACCATTAGAGGTGACAAGTTGAATATTTAATGATCTACAATCCCGGCGTGAAGAAGAAATCGGAAGAATATTATGAACAGCATGTTTCCTAGCTTTATCAGCCTTTCCAGCGCGACATCCTCGGTACTTAAAAATACCAAGGGCTTGAAGTAGACATAATGAAGATTGATACAAATAGCTTGGACCGGAAGAGCGCAAGCGAAGAAGATCAGTTCTGGAGTAAAACTTTGTAGCAATTTGGGCTTGACTTGATGGCTTATCGGCAAGCGAAATAGCAGAAGGAGGCGGGTTAGCGCGACCAGTAGAATGATGAGTAAGTGGGCCAGGATTCCTTTCAACGTCCTGACAAATAGTAAGGTCAAGGGACGGCAATAAGAAGCAAACGTAACCGTGTTTGTGCCAGGAAGAAATTGGTCGTCGACGAAGCCCAAATGAACTTAGTCTTCGAAAGTGAAAGGAAGGTCGATCCAGTCCAGCCGCTTGAAATGAAACAGGAGCTGTGTTCAAAGTGCGACCATCGTGTAACCAAACTGATAAAAAATTGACTGAAATCCGAGTAAAATTAAAAATTTTCACAGAACATCAAACGTGGCAGCCATACTTCGGCGCGCATACATTAGAGACCAACCCCAGACTAAAGCTGGGGTTGGTCTCCGATCTCGTTCCCCAGTAGAATTCATTTTGGTACTTTACTCAAGGAATCGTTGCTCATAGCGTTTCTCTCTCTTTCTCTTTCTCCCCAAGGGCTATTGTGTAAAACTAGTGCGACAATTAGAGATACATTTTCGGTTTATCATTCATTGAGAATAGCATAGAACTCCTGGTTGCTTGATTTCTGAACCGTCTTCGTGCTTTACGCAGGATCCGTTCGAACAGATTGCAGACACTTACAAACAGGTCATGCCACAGAGAGAGATGATGAAGTTTAGCAATAGCATGAGGAAAATTGACTCGGATCGATTCGTGCCCGAGGTATTAGAATTAATCTTACTTAACCTCAGAGAAGAAGCGGTACCAGGTGAAGAAGACATGAGGTAAGATTTCTAGATCTCTAATTACAAGAATTGTTTTCTTAAAATTCAAATTTTTTAGTCTTTCAACTAGTCGCGACATGCCTCAAACCTCACTCCTCCTTTCGCTCTGTTGGTATTATCGCGCACCTTCACAAACTGAGCGCCTGGAATTCAAAATGTAGGTTACCTTATAGCAGGTGTTTTGGTTAGGCTGCCCTCAGATTTTTTTTTTCTCTGTGGATATCAAATTCAAACTCGAGGGTGGTTGGAAAGTGAGATGACCAAAAGTTATACCCCTCATTTTTTAATTGCTGTAGAACCAAAAAATGACGTGCAGTTTCGATGGGTCTTCGATGGGAACACATTAGGATGGTCGCGAATTCAAGTAAATCTTGTCGGCTCCCCTGTACAACTCACTACTAATCAACAATTTTTGTACTAAGTTTTTGTCCCTCCTACCTTTAAACACTTTCCGAAATATAGAATTTTTGAGAGTACTGCAATTTTGTCTCGAAAGCCAGTCGGTGTTGCTTGTTGTTCACCGGGTGTTTTTGTCACCTGTTAGAAAGCAGATTAATTAGATGTCGAGGTTAATTTATGTAAACGACTGTAGATTGCATTTTATTATTATTATTATTATTATTATTATTATTATTATTATTATTATTATTTCCGCGCTAAAATAACTAACTCGGGATGTTGGGGGAATTGAAAAGCGTGATAAGGTCTTCCCTTGTTCTTCCAATATCTCGTCTGGGTCATAAAGTGGGAAGGATTGAAGTGCGGTCCATAGCTTAAATGAGGATGTTTATTTGTGATACTGATCTCAGCCGTAATCCCTTCCTTTAGCTTGCAAGACATCATCGAATGGCATCTTGACAACAAGGGACATGAACCAGTTACTGGACTGGAAGAACTACCACCTGACGTGAAGCTGAAGCACGTGATCCACGCATGGCGAACTTCTGTTGAACTGTGGGACAGCTATCTGGACAAGAGGGATGCTGCTTCGGCGTAAACCTGCGGCTATGTGTTTTGTTTCACTTTTTTTTTTCCGTTTTGTTCTATTTACAACGGCCCAAGACTTTACGTGGGATTTTTCTCCTAATCTGAATTTTCCTCCAGTAGTATTTGAAGTTCCCTGTTTGATTGTAGCATGAAGAGAACGATGAACGAAAAAACTTAGCGATAAAGACTGAAATAGCATAAAGTATCTGAACAGGGGGATTGGTCGTTTTATGAAACGATTACCATGTTATCTGTTTTCAGTTGCTTCGATTACGTTTAGGCATTCACAATAAATTTGGCGGCCTTAGACTTCTTAGATTTAAGTTTTCACTAATACAAGTTTTCCCTAGTACAGAGTTTCCTTAATGCATGTTAATAATTCGTTTGATTAGATAGAGAATTTTTTGTAAAAATTAGCGATAACAAAGAACTACCTTCAGGCGAAATATAAAGAAATTAGCAAACGAATGTTATAGTCTAAACATGGATGAAAAATGAATCCAGCATTTACATGTACATGAATAAAAATTACATAACTACAGACAATTCAAAACAATTTTTAAAAAATATCAGAGCTAAAAATAGTTTTATCGCTAGAATGTCGCTTTTTTTCCTCACAATGAAGTTAATTCAAATGAGCCTAAAGCTAGTATATCTCTCGATAAATAGACAGACACAAATGGGCTTCGAGTGGGCATCGAAGTATTACAAGTTCGCGTTTCTTTTAAAGACAGACGATGACGTGTTTGTGAATGTTCCAAGAGATATCTTTTCCTTAAGAGCCCCACTAATGGTACGTTCTGTCCAGACTACTGCTCCGGATTTGGATTAATTTTATCTGGTGATGTTGTCGTTTCATTTGTCGAAACTTTTCCAAAAAAATCACACCTTGGATATGCGCATTCTTAACCAACTTTCATTTTAAATTTTCTCGTTACTAAGTAATAATGTCTTACGTCTTGCACTCTGACCTGCTGTAACTTTTAACTCCCCAAACATGTTTCTTAAAACATTCATAAGGTTAATCTCATTTTAGTTTAATTGGATTGTAACTCGAATTTTTGAAGATTTAGAAAGCCTAACCTACATGAAAAAATAAACAACTCGAGGAATTGTTTTTTAGAATAGAGTCCGATGTGCATTGTTCAGTTTAGCCTGATTTATTATATAGATACTTATGAAATGCCAAGATTTTTCCTTTTACTTAAAAATCATATCTTCATCGCGTGCGATGAAGATACTATTTTTATCTTTCACGTATGAGGATATCGGTATCGCTATAGTTACTAACATGACTTTTTCTTCTTCGTTAGCATTTTGACTTTTGGAACAGAAAAGACAAGTATTATTGTCTTATTTCTCCTTTATAACCTTATATCCGGGTTTCATAACATTTTTGTGATAGGCATTTTGCGATAGGTGACCACTTTGATTGCACCATTTTGCTGTTTCGAAAATGAATAAAAAAAGTTGGGTTTTATGTGGAAATTTCATCAGTATATATGATATAAACAGAACATTACATGGCCGCCTAGGGATAGGAATTTTATCTTCTCGTGCTAAAAACATCTCTAACGAGTGAGCGAAGCGAACAAGTGAGAGATACCTAAATAAAATTCGTCTTTATTAAAAAAAAACCATCCGATAAAATTACATATCTGATGTTACAGTAAAAATATATATTGATGGGAAAAATTACAATGATTAAATCGAATAAAAATGATTAGAAATACATATGGGGTGTTTACACAGCTAGACTATATTTAAAACTGAATTAATCTATTAAAAAAGCTATGTTTGAAACGTTCAGTGTTTATAATGTTTATAATATAGTCTTTGTACCTTGGGAGTAGGCTTTTTAATGGATGGTCATCATGTTTGATGTTATAAAAAAGGCGTCTGTCGCTTTTCTCCAAAAGTTCATATATGTTGTAATTGACCGACGTATAGCGCCTCTTATAGCATCTTTTTAAAAACCTTCGTAGAACAGTAAGTTCGGAAACACTTGCAGCATAACTTAGGGATCAGCACTCGAAGATAAAATTCGTATCCCCGCACGGCCATGTAATATCCTCTGTATCTTAGTATTACTTCAATTTTAAAACTTGCAAGTTTAAGAGTCATACTACAATCATTTTAATGAGGGCAGGATGTGCAGGTCGTTGCCAGAGAGAGTTATGCGCTGGTCAAACATGTGAACAGGGGAAAGTAAAATCTAGGACATGAATCAAAAACCAAGGACACGAGTATAGAAGAAATTATTTTTTCCTTTAAACATATTCCCATATAGGTCCGCTTTTTTATTGACTGGTTGTTTGTTCTTACCATCCATGTTGTGGCAATTTCAACTCCGTTGTCTCTGTCAATGTAGACAATTTAAATAAAATATCAAGTGGATGGCTTCTTTCCCTCTTACAGTTGTATTACTGAAGGATCAAAATCATTCACCTAGTTGCAAACAGCCGTACTATTTTACAAGAAGGGGGGGGGGGGGGTTGGACCGTTGATTGCTCTGGCCCTTGCTTGACATACTTAACGAACAACCACCTTACGCTCTGTTAAATGCGCCTTCGTTTGCTTCTAAAACAAGCACAGCCTCTATAGGTATCTTAATTCTTAAGCACTTTGCATTAGCACACTTTGAAATTACCACGAACGTTTCGCTTATCGTTGGTGTGTAACCCTGGTAACCTTATCACTCGAAAATCATTTGCTTTTTTCATTTTTCAGTGAAATAGCCGCAGGAATATTTTTCACCGTCTGTTACCTTTGCGCTTTCACAGGCCATGATTATGGGGACTTCAAAAGAGATTATTCGTTTATTCTTAATTATTTTGGCAATTGGCACGGTCCCATGCGGCATCCAATTCGTTCTCTTCTTTTATCCAGCTCTCCTCTCCTGGCCCCGACCTCTATCCTTTGAATCTACATCGAAAAGGGATCATGGATTGAACGCGTCAATTCAATGGATCACATTAGCACCTCCAATTACATCCGCTAATCTCAAATGGTGAAACTCTAATAATCAAACATAAGACAACGCTAACTACAAACAGAACTTGTTCCAAATATTACTATCTTATCATACTCGTTTCAACAGCTCCCGGACACTGGCAACGAAGAAATCTTATTCGCAAGACTTGGGCCTTCGATAGAGACTCTTTGTCGCGATGGACGACAGTTTTTCTTGTCGGTCAGAGCAGAATACAAGCTGAGTCTGTGGCATTGTCAAAGGAAGATAAAGTGCATGGAGACCTTGTGCGAGCAAACTACTATGATCATTACTGGAATCAGACCTTCAAGATTCAAATGGGCTTCGAGTGGGCATCCAAGTATTGCAAGTTCGCATTTCTTTTAAAGACAGACGATGACGTGTTCGTAAATGTTCCGAGAGTTATCTCCTTCTTGAGAGACCCCACTACACCGAAAGAAAATCTTTACGCAGGCTGTCATTATAGGAGCCCTTGGGTTCTGAGACGGGGTAAATGGAAGGTAACCCGTGAAGAATATAATGGTACGTTCTATCCAGACTTCTGTCCCGGATTTGGATTTATTTTATCTGGTGATGTTGTCGTTTCATTTGTCGAAGCTTTTTCATCGGTGCCACACTTCAGATTGGACAATGTATAAGTGGGTATGCTTGCGAACACATTGGGATAAAAATTACTAACAACAAGGGCTTTGAATTCAGTGAAGGGCCACCTCGATGTAAGCCAAACAACGGCACATTGGTAATGCATGGAATATTAGGAGATTGCCTCATTTAGATGTTTAATAGCAACAGCTATGTGCGATATGTATGAAATGTATGAAGAAGCAAACCAATCGGTTTTAGAGCAGAGTCAGATGTGCGTTTTGCAGTTTAATCTTTTATCTAAGTGTTACTTCAATGTTAAAATTTACAAGTTTAAGGGTCAGCCTACAGCATAGTAATGTGGGCGGGAAGGGCAGCTTGTTACCAGAGAGTTCTGAGCTGGTCAACAATGTGAGTAGCAGAAAATAAAGTAAAATCGAAGACATTATGTCCAAGCTGAAGACACGAGTATATGTGGAATAAATCACGCTTTTCTCTGAATAAATTCCCTCCGGTTCGATTTGTTATTGACTGGCTTTTTATGAGACGATCCAGCCTTCGGGAATTTTAAGTCTGCTTTCTTTGTCAGTGTAAACAATTTGAAATAATTTTTAAGTGAGTGGCTTCTTTTCCTGTTAAAGTCCCTGTGACGCCTTTTTTTTTTAGCATCAAATCATAAAAGTAGAACCATAAAGAAGGTGTTTGGTAAGATTTGTGGGTGATTCTGGTGCTTCTTTGTTATTTTACGTGATGACAAAAGTCCGAAATTGTGGCGGATTTAGGCTTCCGGTATCTCTTTGGCCGTGTTGAAGAGTACTGGTACCTAACTATTTGTGATGTCATGGTGAGTTAGTCCAAGCTTATCAAAGAAGTTAAGTGGACTTGGAATCTATTGCTTACGATCTTTTAAGCAAAAAATAAAATCGATGAAATGTCGTTTCGATGTGTAGTTTAGGCTTGTTCGAATACCGCTGACTCGAACAAATAATATTTCGCTCCACGAGATTCTCATGCTCGAGGACGATCAAAGGCCAGAGGCTATGAAAAGGCGAGAGAGGTGGATTAAATTAGCCGAGACCCTAAACTTTTAGCTTTCAGAAGCTGTTGGATTTTTATGAAAAATAAGCCATAAGTGGACTCCGACTTCGAATTCACGCATATGTTGAATACTGCAATCATTTGCCTATAAGCCGATCCTGTCTAGAAACCGAGACCAAAACTTTTGTTGAAATATTGTAAAGAGGTCCACGCGAGTTGTTAACTGATCTGAGACGAATGGTGAGCTTAAAATGTCAGCAAAACGAGCTGTGTTCGAAGTATCCTATATTGGATCAAACACTTCTGGAGTGGTTTTCGCATTTTCGGGGCAGAAGAAGACAGGATAAAATGCAATGTTGGGAAGCAAAGCCTCAAGCTGATTTCTGTCAGATCGTTTTACTTAGCCGTGGGAACATCTGTTTCTGATTGGCCAGTTGCGGATGTTGTCAAAACAAGTCAAAGCAGTTACTCTTTTATTTATTCTTCATGGGAAAGCTATCAGGGGATAAATTCAGCGGCTAAAGGTGGAGAAATTGTGCAGCAATCCAAAGTGAAACGGACTCGAGAAGAATTTCATGAGGAGATGATGGAGAAATCATCTACAACATGCGGGATTTCGAACGCGCTTAACAGCACAGAAGATGATAAAATTCACACGGAAGAAAATCTGTTATTTACATTTCGCATTGTGTTAAAAATTCTGAAATTTGATTAATTTAAAGACAAAATCTGTTATTTACATTTACATTTCGCGGCGACGTTTCATTCATGACATCTTCAGTTTCCATTATAGTTATAACATAGCTTGTAAATTCGTGCCGCTAAAAAACAAAACAAAAACAAAGACAGAAACAAAAACAAAAACGGTTGCTTTAGCCATGTTCTGTTCAGACTACTGAAATGTTTTGTTCCGACTACTAAAATATTTTGTTCAGACTACTAAAAATAACTTCAAGCGAAAAGCACATGTTTTATATACCATAATAGTAACGCAACAAAAAATGTCCTCAGTGGGGTGACCCCGTCATAAGTCCAGTCTCACTGGGGAGCGTGAGGTCCTCCCACTGCGGGTCCGGGCCCGAACAAGCCATTTGCTAAGGGTGATCGTTACAGTTAGGTTTGACTGTATTGAGATCAAATGGTTATCTAAATTATGGAGAATTTAAAAAAATGGAAAAAAGGAATAAAATGACTTTAGTAGTAAAGATAATATGTTGGAAGACTTACACACCTCGCGATTACAGATCACCCAGTTGAATGAAATAGAAGGAAAACATATCTCAAGTAAATGTCATTTTTAAAGAAATACAGTCTACAAACAATGACTAACAAAGTAAGTCAGAGGCGTCTCATCAAATTCCCTCCAAAACTCTGACATAATGAATAAAGATTTTTTTATTTCTGCTGTGAGGTTCCGGCCTTTTTTAATAATACTAGAAGCTGTTTTTTTTTCACCCGTGTTGATAAAGGAGGACAAAAGGTTACCCTGACGCTGGGGTTGACTTTAGAACCAAG